AATATGATCTTTTCAATCTAATATAAAAGGAAGTAAATAAAAAAATCTGTAAGTTAATCGTAAAGTGAAAGATTGGATTACAGCAAACTTTGTTTCTGCATTTTAGTTCAAGAAAGGGACTGCTCTTATGGATGTCTTTACCTGCGGCGGGGAGGCGTCCACTGTCCAAAATGCAAAGAACAAGGTATTATTTCTTATAGAAACGGAGCATACCTTTCAATGTAAAAAATGGTCCGCCAAGATGTACCTCAATGTTTGGTCATTGGGCGTGCACTGTATTGCTTGACTAACCCAAATCGTTACGAACGGCTGCAGACAGGAGAGGTGTAACAAAAAGGGTGCCCTTGATTCAAATGTTGACAAAATTCCGGAGCTTGCTCATGCAGAACAATTATGATGGCCGTCGTTTGTTAAATTTTTTGCACCAAAGGAAAAATACGGAATGGGGCTCTGATTGAAAATGATGGATTGTCCACAGAAATTGTAAGAGATGTATTTCGGAAAAAAATGTACAGACTGCAAGACTGGCTTTTTTGGCGATGGTGTGAATTCAATTGCTCCAGAGGTTGTTATTTTTCAGGCAATTTGTAGCAAACAAAAATGGAACATGTATGCATCAGAAAAATGCAAACCAAACTTTGATGGTTTATCATGGGGCACATAATGTTTTCTGGGCTACATGGGACATTTTTGTTATATAACCCTGTCCTTACAACAGTGTCACGTGCACTTCGAGTACAAGTTGTGATAAATGCAAACACGGTTACTGAGGTAACGCTTGTGAACACACTTGCTCTCACTTGCTTTGGAAACACTTAACATAAATAAAATACTTCAAATAGCACATCTAAAGCCTATACAACAATCAAGTCCTTGTTATATATATGTTGCACATGCATTCTAATTAAAGAACTTATACGTTTACTATGTATTTTTCTAAATGAAGAATTTGATCGGCATGTAAAGACACGTATAACTAACCACAAATTTGTTAGAAGCAAAATGTGAAAAGTAATTAGAAAATACAGAACATTTACAAAACGATATGGAAACGAAGTGAGGACAATTTTGTAAAAATTTACTACGCGTAGAGCTTTTTGGCGATCATTGTGAGAAATGTAATAAAAGTAATGGAATGTGTTACATGTAACAGGGGAACTGCAAACATGATCTACTGGTCTATATGGTACATATTTTATGTTTTCTTGTCTTGCTAAATGTCCTCGAGTATAAGCTGTAATAATTGAAACGCAGTTACTTAGGAAACGCTTGTCAAAATACGTCCTGTCAATGGTTTTCATTATCATCATCAACAACAACAAAAACATCCAAATAAATATTTAAAAAAAGTTAATGTCATCAACAAAATGCGTTTTATCTTTAAGGAAGAAACACTTCCAAGTATTATCATAGTTATCACCGTAATCATCATCATTTTCATAGTCACCTTTACCTTCATCATATAACCATCGTTAATCTAATTCCTATTTGTGAAAGTTCGCAATATTTGTTTCAACTTGCTGTATTTGTTTCATCTATCTCTTGATGGTACACTGTGCAGAGATCATTACATTGGATATTAAGGAAACACTTTCCAGTATTATCGTTGTAATCATCATTTCATTATTAACATCATCATTATCATAACCATCGTCAACGTCAACAACAACAAAATATGCATATAAGCATTATAATCAACATCATCTTCATATCTATCATATAATCATACTAACGACTGCAAGGTCTTTTATTTCTTATATTGTCATCCATTGAATTCTAAATTTCTGAAGTGTTTGGAGACTGATTGTTATCTAAATGTACCTCTGCTTAATCTTTCCCTTGAATGTACACTGTGCAGGCATTATGTTTCTGTAAACCTGATTAAAACAAAACTCCTCAAATGCCCAATTACTAGTCTAAAATACTAATACGGAATCTCATATTATTTGGATATTAACTGCCATGGTGATAAAACGTGACATAAAACATTGCCCTGAAATGCAATTCTAACTTCCACCTCTGTTTAATTATGTCAAATAATTTTCTATACTTAGTTACAATTTATTTTATTATTATGTAAACAATCTAATGGCCTTGGTGCAAACCGGATTTAGCTAAATTAAAAATACAATAAGGACAATATTACATTTGCACAAAACAATACGAGGTAAACATTGAAAACCTTTTTAATGTACGAAAAACTTAAAACAGTCACAGCGATAAAAACTTCATGCATCAGACGTATCTTACACGTAAACAATTATATATTTTAAAACCACAATTCATAAAGTATAAACTTATTCTGATGTATTGTTGCGGTGAATATTTTATCATGTGCATATTCAGATTTGAAGGCCGACACGCCGTTGTTTAGGTAGCCGTAGTATTTTGTAACTTCTCTCATTAATAAACTTAGCTTACAAAAGGTTCAGTCAATTGTTTTGTATTTGGATAACCATGATGGTCTTTCTCCATCTGTTTGTTTTCGTCATGTTCTTCGGAATGATTGAAGGTAAGCTGAATTGATGCATGTTGCTACATAGACATACAAGTTATAAATTTTCAGTAAAGGATTTGAATGGTAATTCCTAAAATGTTAAAAGAAAAGACAATGATATTTTACTACATTTAGGAGCCACATTTAACGATAGATCCCTCAAAATATTACAGATCATGTAAGAGACTTCGTTTTGAAAGAACTTATTTAATTCTGTAAATCTATAATAACTGTTTTCATTCCCTTCCCAGAAGTATTCACATAAGTATTGACTACAAAAATACCCTTTGATATCTACTTAACGGTTTCCCAATAAAAAAAATGGAATTCCAAACATGAATGCCGTAAAAGATATTTCTAAAGATATTTGTAAAAAAAAAGATTTTGCATAAAAGCTATCTTTGCAAACTAATGGTCTTAAATTGTTTTTTAGAACATCATTCATTGTCCGGTATCGTAAAAAATAAAATTGCAAAGATGTGCATAGTACAGAAATCCTTAGCTCAACATGTGAACAATAATCCGGAACGATTGTTTGTGTACAGATAATTGTGAACGCGGTCATTGTGGTTGTTGTGCCATAGGAAATATTGTTATGTTGGTTTTCTGATTGTATGGGAGGGCGTTTCCATGACTTGTTTGACAAGATATTCATTCACAAATGTTTTGCTAATTTGCCATCATTAAACTCGAAAAGATCGTTTTATTACTTTGACAACCCCCTAAGATCTTTATATTTTAAAATCGATAAAGAGGTTGTTGACCTTTAAAAGAAAGATGTAGCAAAAATTAATGTAATGTAACCTTTTATAGAGAGAAATGCAAATTAAACGTTCGTGGTCTCAATTATAAGATATATGAGCCGTTACATGACATTTCCAACATGTGGTCAAATGACGTAATCGTAGAAACACGACGTCAAAGTTGACACCAATATATTTTAATGATATCACGCGTGCTTTTCCAATAACCACTGGAAAAATAATCTGATCTATCATTTTTCAGACAATCCGTCGCTTGAAAATTGTAATATGCTATCTGCAAATTTCCCAAACACAATTTTGTCCGTAAAGGACTGTTCTATCTCCTTGGCATGTTATATTAGTGCTTCAGAGCTTTATAAATGAATTACAGCAAAACAATCCTGTATTCAGTATGTTTTGATACTTATTGGACCAATCATATCATCGATAAATGTCACGTGACCTATGGGGGCATATGAAACAAACTGTTCTAAATCCAAAGTACCGTATCAAAACATTGCATTAAATCACGTGATGGCAGGACACCCGCCATGTTGTACGAAACATTTTGAGCTAGCTGGTTATACAACGTTTGCTGTTTATGTCATATATTAGTACTAAATGTAAGTATTGAATGATATTATGTATTCATAAATTAATTCCAATCATGGACATTTTATTCTTATGTCATTTGAACTAACTGCATGTGATAAAACAGCAAATAAAACTATCATGATTTGCAAGTAATTTTGGATGTGTATTTTCGGATAGAAACAACTGTGATCATACAATTTCAACAAACAAATTCGTAAATAGGAAAGGTATATATGCTCTAAAGTTTCTATAATTAAAAGCACATCATGTCTCAAAGACCATTTCTTTAATTTAAAAAAGACAAATATAAGTTTTAGAAATTATAAGTAATAATAAACAGCATGCTAGATTCTTATCGCCATAATTATACTTATGAATGCTAAATTCCCTTTATAATAAGACCGCCTCAGTGGTCGAGGGGTTAGAGTCGATTACTTCTAATTCAGTTACCTCTCTGGCGTGGGTTCGATCCCCGGGAGATGCTTTGGTAGCTTAGCACGGAAGAAGGTAGTCTAGTACTGGTGTCATTCTCCAGGAACGATGGTTAGGAAACTACCCGCCCATATGACTGAAATACTGTTGAAAAAAGGCGTAAAATGAAACAAACAAAAAAACAACTTTATAATAAAAGTAGCAAAATGTCAACAAAATAGTATTTTGACTTCCAATCAAAATACTAAATGACTGTAACTGTACTTACTTGTAAATAAGAAACATAAGCATAAGATTGTTTAGGTTACTTACCAATGTGGAACTCTTTTTTTTTTGAAACTATAACAGAACTCCAAATATAAAGCTTTTGAGAGATAAAGATAAAAGCAATTTTAACAACGGGCCTGTTAGAAAATTTATAGATATTAAGCGTTTATATAAAATTTATGTTTTAGAATGCATTAATGTTTTGTAACTAATAGATTACTTTGAAGTAAAAGCATTTTATACCAAAGTCAGAAGGAAGAAAAATATTCTCATAGTATATTTAGTTTGTCTTGTAATTTGTCTTTGAATTTCTGAATGTATATTTATATGACATTATGTTTGTAATGTTATGTACATGGACAATCTTTAAATATGACATTTTTGAATTATAAGTCATGCATTCTACTACCTTTAAGTTCTTTTCTAGCAGCTATGTTTTCATTGCTTACTTAAGTTATAGCCACATTTTTTTCATTCCTACAATTAGAAGAACTTCTTACGAACTGAAAGAGAACGTGTAAAGCGCATTACAACATAATTACTACTATTTCAAACTTTCGGAAGGAATTTGAATTTGACCATCTTTTGAATTTTCATGAAAAAAAAAATTTGAAAGATTTTTCCAGTATTCTAGAGAATTTGAAAGTTTTCTATTCCCGTTTGCATCTAGAGCTTTTTTTTCTTGACATTAAATCAATTTGAAGGTATTAAATTGTAATGGCTAAAGTTATAAAAATAGATAAAAATGTCTACAAAATTTATGTGGGTATTTTATCTTTATTTTTGTATATTATTAATTTAATGTCATTTAATAATATACTGGTGGATCAAAGGATTTTAATAAAATTTCAAATGTCATAGATGCATATGGTCTACGAAATAGCGTGGTCTCAAAGACTACTAATCAAGGGATAATTATCCGAGAACATTTTGGCTTTCTTTTTAAGATAAAACATACTGTTTTATGTGACATAAATCAATTTAACTTAAAAGACATAATGTTCTAAGTCACATTGAACACTTTGATTTAAACATTTTTTGAAAAAAAGTTACAAGGATTGTTCTATCTCCAAATGTTTTGTAAGGTTTTTTAAGCAAGAAAATATTAAAATCCACATTTCTAACGACATTGAGTTGTTCTCTCGACACCACGTTTAGTAGCTTTTAAATTTTCAAAATCCAACATAAATAAAAAAAAGTTATGCAATATCAAATCTTTTCATGCTTTTTTCTCAAAAACAACAAAATGGAACTTGGAACAAAACGTTTTTGCGACGATTCGTCGGAATAAGTTTTTAATCGGTGTAATTTATGTATTTATTATTGACATGTCAATTGCAAACTGATAATATCGTCAGTGAACAGAAAACGGTATAACATCGATAGATATATGAAAGCGTCCGGCAATATACTTGTATACTTGATATGATATATTATATCAATTCTTCTCTTGGCTACATGGAACAAATGGCTTATTGCCTTGTCCTGACAATGTCTTTCCTGGATACAAATTGTAATATATGTCACCCCGGTAATTGGGGCCTGCCAAAACAATTAATAAATTTGTCAAACAAGTTACTTTGGCAACGCCTGTCACAATTGTTACATTGAATGCCCAAGGCGGGAAGATTTGAAAATATAGAAGTTTGTTTTAATGACAAAACTAGAATAAGTTTTTGTTGGAGAACAGTGTGACATTTGTGTTTCGAGGAAGAAAGAAATGTATTATGTTTTATTATGGTTTCAAGTCACAGACACTAGGGATGTGAAGCTCCAAACGCCTTTATATACAAATAAATTGTATATTTGTCAATCCCAGGAAATATGCTTATAATATTTTCATAAAACTCAATTTAAGCAATCTAAAAATAAAAATCATATATCAACATACACCAGATAAAACTTTTCGATGGAAATAATCTTCACATCTACCCTTAATATCACCTTGCATTTTATTCCATTTCCATTGCTTTCACATAATCCTCTTGTCTATAACATACTTTATTTTGACTTTTGGAGTTGCAGCTCCACAACGCAAGTGTCTGCGTCCTCAGCAACATCCTGCGTTGTAAATAATAGAACCCAAAGGACTTGAATCCCTGTCCCAAATAAATTGACTTTTCTTTTTTTTTCAAATTTCGTAAAAGAGTCACTTTTTTTACATGTGTCCATTCGTAATACACATGATGAGTTATATTATCTTCTTAAAATTGTTTGCAATATTTATGTGTCTAAATGCTTATTACATGTATTACTGTAAAAAAATGTTTTGTTTACTTTACTATTGTTTTCTAGTGTTTACAAACTTCTATGTTGATTTAAAAATATAATAATATAGTTATTTTGTTAGTTTCTCTTTCTGTGGGACAATTTTTGTTCTTTTAGCTTTTCGGATATAATTGTCATAAATAAATAATAATAATTTATTAAATAGTGGTCTTGAACGCAATACATATTGGTTGCCCCGTCTTAAAGGTTTGTTATGTACGTAGAACTTGTAAAACATAACACAAGTAATAAGAAATTTAATCTGGTAAACTATTGAAATGACGAGAGAAAAAACATAATATAAAGAAAAAACAGCAAAATTTATTTCTTTTATTTTAGTTCAAGACTTCGGATGGGTCTACGGATGCCGAAACCGAGGCGGGGGAGGCGTCACCTGTTCAGATTGCAGTGATGGGTTTTATAATTTTAGGGATGGTCAATACAATAGATGTAAAAAATGTCCGCCTAGGTGTACTGCGTGTCATAACTATAATTCGGCCGTCAATTGTGTTGCTTGCACCAACCCAAATCGATACGGAACGGACTGCAGTAAGAATTGTAGCAAAGGATGTCTTAACTCAACATGTGACAAAACTTCCGGAGCATGCTCATGCAAAGACAACTATAACGGCGATCTTTGTGATGATTGCGCCGAAGGGAAGTATGAAATGGCTTCTGATTGTGTGATGGATTGTCCGCAGAATTGTAATAGGTGTATTTCGGAAACAAACTGTACAGAATGCAAGACAGGCTTTTTTGGCAATGTGTGTGAATTCAATTGCTCAAGAGGTTGCTATTTGGACAAATGTAGTAAAAGTAATGGAACATGCTATCAGGAGAAATGCAAACCAAACTTTGATGGTATTAATTGTACAACTTGCTCCCCCAGGTTTCATGGAACATATTGTCAATTACCCTGTCCTGAAAGCTGTGTCGCATGCTCCAGGAATACAAGTTGTGATGATTGCCAGCATGGTTACTGGGGAACTGCCTGCCAACACAATTGTTCCATTGGATGCTACAAAAGCAGTTGCTTTAAAAAGACAGGTGTCTGCATGTATAGCAAATGTAAAACAGGTTTTATTGGGGAAAAGTGTGATATTTGCGTTTTAGGGAAGCACGGAATGTACTGCAATATTACTGAAACATTGAATGGTAATGACCAGACCTCATTGAAACTAAACTATATATAAAGTATATCAGTATTTTCTTTGCTGCTTTTTTCCCTCTTTTTGCTGAAAACACGAGTTGACTTCATCGGAATTTTCATGATTTAACACTTTTTTTATTTGTTTGTCTAACGGTGTTTTATCAATAAGTTTTGATGTATCTTTTTATTTATATATATAATAATTGTACGACTGGCCGAAGTCACAAAATCTTATTAGTTACACAAAATATCTTTGTTTGTTCACATAATGATCCATGTTTACGTAATTTGTTTTTATAATTATTTGTTTTAATGTAGGAAATGGCTCATCAGCAATGAAGTTTACAGGACATTCTTCAAAATATGCAGTCATGATGATGGTCATGACATTGTTCAGGTAAGAGCAGTACACATGTATGAATATATGTTTTATGTATTATTTTAAAGAAAGATATAAAAATCTGGAAACAAAGTGATCCCTCGGAAGCATTAATCACAACAAAATTACATAAGAAAAGCAGACTCGGTTTGATTGAGTCTGTACATGAGGGATTATGAAAAAGTGCAACATCCCTCACGCCCCCTAGCACCTGTTAGAGCAGTTCTCAATTCTCAACACTTAATAGTGGTGGCACCAATGATCACGAAGGACAGAAAAATGTAACAACACTGAAATAAAGTACGGGGGAACTTTTTACAGCTGTCACACAGCACTTGACACCTGCTGTTATGAAGTATAAAAATCTTGAAACAAAGTGATCCCTCGGAAGCATTAATCACAACAAAATTACATAAGAATTGCAGACTCGGTTTGATTGAGTCTGTACATGAGGGATAATGAATAAGTGCAACATCCCTCACGCCCCTTAGGACCGGTTTGAGCAGTACTCAATTTTCAACACTTAATAGTGCTAGCATCAATGATCCCGAAGGACCAGAAAAATGTAACAACACTGAAGTGAAGTACGAGGCAACTTTTTACAGTTGCCACACAGCACTTGACACCTGCTGATGTGAAGTATAAGAATCTGGAAACAAAGTGATCCCTCGGAAGCATTAATCACAACAAAATTACATAAGAATTGCAGACTCGGTTTGCTTGAGTCTGTACATGGGGGATAATGAAAAAGTGCAACATCCCTCACGCCCCCTAGCACCAGTTTAAGAGGTACTCAATTCTCAACACTTATTAGTGCTGGCATCAATGATTCCGAAAGACCAGAAAAATATAACAACACTGAAGTAAAGGTTGATTTCCAAGTGAATGCATAACACCATTCATAAAAATGTTGTTAACGATTATTCATTTTGACAAAAAAATGTTTTGAAAGAAATTTACCCGATGTGTCAGTGAACGTTATTACAAGTAATTATAAACCATCAATGATATGTACGTTGATTATCGCCATGTGTCATGATATTTTCAATAACAATTTGCTAGTTTTTCCTTTTTGTAATGCAGTAATTGCTTGTCAAGTGCTTTGATCGAAAATATCATACCTCACATTTCCTATATTGTTCTTCACAGGTACCCTTTCTCTTCATCCATATATATTTATTTGCTTTTCACGCTTTTGTTGTCTTTAATATCCTGGTCGGTTTCTATGTTTGCCTATTTTAAATTATTTCTAATAACTACCTGTCCGTGGTTTGCCCTTATCCCCTCCCATTTTTGTTTGGTGTCCCACTAGACTCCTTGCCAGTTGTACGGTGTTGCTGGTTTGTGTTGGGCGATGCGTTCATTGAATACCGCCATTCCTTGTTGATATTTGTTTTCAGAGTTTGTACATTTTTCTCCGAAACTCTGGTGTTAAATGACGTTTATAGTTATATGTAGCAAATATCAAGCAAAGATAAGAGTTGGTGTATCTGTGGTTTACTCGGAACTGAAATAGCGTATTGCTCCTGTTATACTGTAAAATGGTGTCTCAATAGCTCTTTTTTCTGCTGTGTAATACAATAGTACTAAGTATCAAACATACAAACAAAAAAACGAACACATTTTGTATAGATTTTGTTGGAAAGTGTGCGATGTGTGGTCCGATAAAAAGTATATTTATATAACAATTAATAAAATACTTATCCTACTAAATTACCTAGATTTTTTTTCTAGCTATAGTTTATGAAAATATCCAATGATATATTGTTTTTATAAATATTTGAAATTCTTATAGAAAATTTGACAATTGTAGACCAATGCACTAACATAAGTCATTTCCTTATGCTTAATAAATCCAAGATACACATTATACGTGTAATGAACACTATTTGTGAAAACAGTGTTGAAATAAGCCAATGCTTTGAGCATACTTTATTTTGCAATTACACATGTACCTTCATTTATTTTCAGGTTTATTGTGTAAATCATTTAAAAAAAACAGTGATGATGTCAGATGGAGCTCAAGAAAAAGGAAAGCACATTCCGGTTCCTTGTATTGCATTGGTTTTCAATCAATATACATGTATGTATTGGTTCTATGTGTTGTTATGGTTTGCACCCATATATATGAATTGGTTCCCGGCCGTGTTATAGATCCCACTAAAGTGACTGTACTTTTTGAAATTTTTCAGAAGAGTCGTTCTTATTACAATCTTACACATGTTGAGTAATGGACATCTATTCTATCTTGTGTTACATTGTTGATGCTATTTATTCGTGTATATACACTTTTCTACGAAATTGTAAGCTCAAATATTTAGCTTACCAATATTCAAACTTAGAAACAATTATTACAAGAGCTTTTGTTAGAAAAGGGTGCTCGACTATTCTCAATAAGTAATGGAACATGCTTTCAGGAAAAATGCAAACCAAATTTTTTACGGTATTAACTGCGTAAAATGTTCTTCTGAGCTACATGGGACATATTGCATGTTACCCTGTCCTGACAACTGTCTTACGTGCTCCTCAAGTATAAGGTGTGATAAATGCAAGCACGGTTACTGGGGAACTGCTTGTCAACACACTTGTTCTCACTGGTTTTGTGGTGAACACGTTTGACACAACAAGAATTCTTGAAGTATCACGTCTTAAGTCTATACAACAGACAAGAACCAAACTTTGCACTTATACGTATGTTTACTATGCATTTTTTCTAATTGTAGAACTTTTCCGGCATATAAAGACAAGTATGACAAACCAAAATTTGTTAGATTTCTACAAGCAAAAAAAATCGAAACGAAAAAAATATGTATGTTTGTATTATTGTATATTTCTATGACGAAATATTAACAATTAAGCTAGATAATTGAAGACCATAGAACATCAATAAAAACTCCACGAATAAGCCGTAAATTTATACAATAACCACATTTGAGTAAGAATATTATGATTTTAGATTTTAACTATTTCCCTTTAATCTTATTTTCCTTTAATGTACAGTCGCCATTTGCATAACAAAATACCGTGATTCAAAATAGATAACATGATTTAAAAGATTATTATTACAGATAAAAAATTCATGCTAGTAGAATAAGCTTCATTTTATCCAAAAAATACGATATCAGTTGCATACATTTTCATTTAGCAATTATTATAGCCATACATCCACATAAATATTAAGAATTTAGTTAACAATCGGAAGATAAGAATGTACAACAAACTGCCAGGCAAACGCTCGGTTTATATAACAATATAATACCAATCACTTCATTGAATTTATAAGAAACATATATTCAATATGAAGTCTCTTAACGCCAATCTAAGACCCCAACATACCTTTTTATGTGCTCATCTACTTGAGATCGTTGACGTCCTTTTCAGATAGTAAAAGTGAACCCTTCAATGTCACTGTAAACATAACACCGTTTAAAAAATTAACAGATTCACATGTATCATTAACAAATTAACTTGTAATGTCATCACGTTTAAAAGTCTACATTTTTAAAAGCTAAAAAATATAGTATGCAAATTATTATATATTTTTGCAATCATCATCATCATTATCATCATCTTATTAACGTCATCCCTTATTATCAATTTTAGTATTGTTATTATTATGATTTCATCGTTCTGTTGAAACAGCATTATGTGATTTTTATTTTATTTCACCTTTGCGTCACACCATCTGCGGATGTTTCTAATTTCAAAATTTCACCACTTTCACGGTGATAGGGCGTTTACCACAACTTTTCCGCGCAACGTCAAAATATAATACTTCTGACCGTGACACCGTATATTTCTGGACAAAATATTAATAGCGGGATAACCAAATTGCAGGTAATAGCTTACAAAATATCTTACTGCTGGACGTTGCAAAATTATTCCAATTGTTTAAGTACTCCATCAAATTTTTTCTAAAAAGTATGTAATTTTTTGTGAATTGTGTTGTGCTAGATTAACGATAAATTGTTTCAAAAATTCGATGGAGTACTTAAACAATTGGAATAATTTTGAAATGTCCAGCAGTAAGATGTTTTGTAAGCTATTACCTGCAATACTTTCACCATCATCAACAACAACATCATCATAAATAACATGAATAATAATATCACTTTCATCATTATGATAATCATCAGCAGCAGCATCAACATCCTCATTATCATAATCATCACCATCAACAAATTACGAATTCCCCACCATCATTATTTTTACCATATTCATCATCCTGATCAACATCAACAACAACATGATCATTATTATCATATTGACAATCGAAAAGCAAAATTTCTATGTATCCCTTTCATCTATTTAATTTTAGGTTGTAAATATTTAGAGGATAACTTTCATCTTGATCAGCTTCTGTTTCATTTTTCTCTTATAGTACATGTAATAACAAAACTAAATTATTACAGTATATAAATACAGGGACTTTATGGTACAGAAAGAGAAACAATTTATCACATAATTAGTGTTTTTTTTTTCTTGGCGGTGCAATATGCAGAGGTTACCATGTGTATTATCTAAGATTCTGACTTTTCATACCAAATTTGATGTGTGTGTGTTTTTTCTTTGTTTCACATCTTATTGAAAGGATATATTTCTCGGTATATGTGCAATAACGAGTGAAATTAAAATAATAAATGCAAATGTATTTACTTACAATAAGGTTTAAATGAAATTCCGGTTGATTTAAACTGCAACTACGATAACGAGAGAAAACAAACATTGATCTGAAATACCATTATAATTCTGACTACCTCCCCTATTTATGGGCCATATAAATGAAAACAATAAAGGTCAAAAAAACAAAGGCAAAGTTGCCTTCATTCCAGAAAATCGCTCAATATACTTAGTAACAGTTCAAATTAAAACTATTCGTAATGCATGTAATTCAATTACTTGGAATGGACTGGGTTTAGCTTAATTTGATATAACATTAATATAAAATAAACCTGTATAAGAATAGGATGTTTACATCAAATGTTTTACCGTTACGATCATTCAAAACCTAAACAAATCAAAAGAATCATATAAGCACTTCATGTCGTTCGTTAGCTTTTACGTAAACAAGTATATTTTTTAAAACCACACATTATTTAAGTGTGAAATCATTCCCAACGTGGCGTAAATTCAATCTTGCGAAATAGATTTAGTGGACGACGTTCCGTTGATCACGTAACTGTTGTATTTTAAAATTCAACTGCTTTATAAACAACTTTAATGTAACAATAAACCATATCAATAGTTTCGCCTTAAATAATCAGGATGGTGTTTCTTCATCTATTCGTTTTAAGCATGATATTTGGACTTATTGAAGGTAAGCTGAAAGTATATGCATGTTGTTAAAAAATTATTAACAAAATTAAAGTTTATTCCGTTATTATAGCGTTTTGCTATTTGTTTTACTGGTCGTACATTAGACGAATCCTCGAGCTAGTCAATTGTTTTGTTTTGGATACAGTTTTGTTTAAATTAATTTTCCACATATCAATTTCATGCTGTGAATACATTTTTAACAGTTCCATTTACCTTATATGACTTTTTTTATAATTACTAGTGGGCATAAAGAATTCTGTTTATATTCGTTCAAGAAACATATCTTTTTTTAAACGTTAAATGATTTACTATTTCAACTAAGTACTTTTAACGACAGATGTTATGAAATTTGTTTTAAAAATTGTCAAACTTTAAAGTACTTGTTTCTTTTATCCTAGAGATCATGTTTTTTGTTTGTTTCCCCTGCCAAACAGAAACATGAGTTAACATGCAATTATGATAACAAGCGACCCCTCCCCCGACAAAAAGTTCTGTAATTTATATAGAAAAAACTAATATCCCAGAACTGAGTGAGAATCAGTGGCGTAAATTCTTCAGAGTGATCTGATTTCTTGACTTTAGTCCACTAATTGCACCGCAAGATTATAATTTTGTTTGATAAATTAGTTCTTATATTTTATATAGCGCAGGTGTTGGATGCATGCCACAAATGGCACAACTGTCTGACTTGCTATACATACCCGTTCAACTGTTCATCTTGTCCGAAGGGATACTATTTGACAAGAGGAGGGGCTTATTATACATGTAGAGCATGTCCAAGTAATTGCTCAGAGTGCAATCATTACAGGTCTTGCACAGACTGCAAAGACGGTTTCTTTGGCGACATATGTGAATTCAATTGTCCAAGACGTTGCTATTTAGGGAGATGTAGCAAAAGTGATGGGACTTGTTACCAGAAGAAATGAAACCCAAACTACATGTTCCGTTTACGCATACGGTGGATACATAGTGTTGACTAAATATAAATTAATTAATAGTTAAGCACTCTCTTTTGATTTTGAATTTTATCGATTGACCATGCCTTTTCTTTGAACTCTAGGAACATAAAAGAGTTCAATTTTATTTCTGACTATTATCATAGAAACTTTCGAATCTTACTATATACGAGTATTTGCCTTATATAATCATGATAAATTCATTCCCACTTATTATCATCTTTGTTTCCTATACTGTGTCGGTGTGACGTAAAACCCAATCAAACAAACAAACAAATCATCTTTGTTTAAATGTAGGGAATGGCTCATCTGCAATCACACTAATAGAAACTTTCTTGACATATCCATTTCTTATCATTGCTGTTTCTTTATTCAGGTAAGAGCGGCACGCGTACATCTGTTTTTTATATTCTATTTTTTTGTAATTCATTCTCATTACAATACACTAAATTTATTCTCGATTATCTTCCACAGAAAACGCTTGTCAAGTACTTCGATATTCAAATACATAAAACATTTTGTTATTTCATATTTCACAAGTAAAATGTTCAAATTTGTTTATATTCTTTTTTAAAAAATGAAATAAAAGACAGCGAAATAAGCAGCAAGTAATTTGACACAAAGCTTACAGAAAGTGAAATGGTGCATCTGGTTTAATTAGTACATTGTACTAAAATGGATCAAAATATTTTGGCTTTGGATTATGTAACTCATTGGAACTGCTGTCTCCGCAACCTAAGTTTTCTTGTTATTTGATTAAAATAGATAGAATACACAGAATAATATCCCATTAACAATGATTCATTTAAAGGTAAGGCATTTTGTATGCTCAATATTCCAACTTTGCAGAAATAACCTATGCGTGTAATAAAGTCAATGATTCAGTGATAAACCGTTGCCTTGAAACGACATTGTGTTACGCTATTCTTGTTTTGATTTCAGGTTTCTTGAGTAAAGCATTCCGAAAACATGAAAAATAAAATATCTTCTGGTTTTATGAATTGATAAGGTTCACAGGCACTATATGAATAAACATGTACCTGGTTTCGTAATGGTCACATGTAAACATATAAATGGGTGTATGTCCTTCTGGTATTATAGTGACCCTTCTTGTCCTTCTGGTCCATTACCCGGCACTCTTATTCCGTTGTAGGTATTTTAATTATTTATGGTTCTTAATTACCTTGTAGATTTCTATGTTTTCCTATTTTGAATGATTAATAATGACATCTCGTCCGAAAATTTTCCATGTGCCATGTCCTGTTAGGTGTCCTGCTGTGGACCTTGCTGGTGGCTCTGTGTTGGAGGATGCGATCATTGAATACAGCCCTTCCTTTTTGATCTTGTTTTTTTTTATATTTTACTTAATTAGATGTATCCTTTTTGAAATTTTGCAGAAGATCCACTTTTGTTGCAAAATTAATGTTGTTATCTACAGAAAGCTATAAATAGAAAACATCATGTATGTTGATTGATATAAAAAAGGGTTTCAAGTTTAGATTGATATGTAGTTTGTAAAAAAAATGTTGCTTCTGAATTATTTTCAAAGAAATAAATGTTATTGTTAATGTTTCGTTGTTATTATTTCATACGAATGCAAGAAACATCTCTAAAATCGATAAGATTCGGATATGAATTATTCCGTTATATAATGTTTATAATACCTGTATGTAGTTTTGGGTAAAAGGCTAGAAATGTTTTGGATAAAAGGCTAGAAAAGAAGAATAATTTCAAATAATAATAATAGTTAATATTTTTTTTGTTAATTAAAAACACTTTCGTTCGTTTTCTATTTCGTTCGTTCGTTTGCTATTTTCAACTGAAAAAGATGTATGAAGCTCGAAGAAGCTTTGAAGGCAAGCCAAAAAGACGAATTTATTTCTCTACTGTTATAAAGATAAAATGTGAAAATATTGATCTCTATCACATTGTGTTATAAAGAGAACGAAATATTTTGTTTCTTAACTTTGAACAGTCGTTGCTTAAAGACTTTGATTTAGATTCATAGTAAATATCATGTATACAAAATTTGAATGTTCATTTTAAAGGTCCTGGTCTTTTTTACCTCGTCTAATTGTAAGAGAAAGTCAAGCTATTTTGATCGCTGCGTCGTTGTTAACGTCGTTATCGTTCAAAAACCGTAACCCACTTCTCAATATACTTGAAAAACTTAATCATAATAAGATTTTGTTATAAGACAATGGGATTGATTCTAAAAGCATTATTTTAGATTATTCCCCCTTGTAACAAGAATATAGTAAATAGAATAATTTCAAAACTATGAAAGATATCAACATGACACTTGTAACAATTGTTAGTCATGACAAGGTGCAGTTGTTAGACAAGGTTCATAACACTGGAAACAATGTTTTCGGGGAATTAAGCCCCTTTTAATTTATTGAATATTTCAGAATAAATGTTATTAAGAGACGGGCATTAACATCGCATTCTTAATGTTAATTATGAACATGAAACATGCACAATACAACATAATTCATTGGAAATTTAAAAAGTCTGATCACTGAGGAAAATACTTAAACTTGTTTCTGCATTTCAGTTCAAGACATTAGATGCCCCTATGGATGTCTAACATGCCTCGGGGGAGTCCACTGTCCCACGTGCATAAATGGATTTTATTCTGTTAGAGAAGGTGCATACACACAATGTAAAGAATGTCCTTCTAGGTGCTCTTCATGCTTTGACCACTGGACCGTGTACTGTGTTGCTTGCACGAACGAAACTCGGTACGGAAAGGACTGCAGGGAGATTTGTAGCAATGGATGTCTTAACTCAACATGTGGCAAAACTTCTGGAGCATGCTCATGCAGAGACAACTATGAAGGCAATCGTTGTGATAGTTGCGCTAAAGGCAAATACGAAATGGACTCTGATTGTGTCATGGATTGTCCACAAAATTGTAAGAGGTGTATTTCGGCAACAAACTGTACAGAATGCAAGAATGGCTTTTTTGGCGATGTTTGTGAATTCAATTGCTCAAGAGGTTGTTTTTTGGACAAATGTAGTAAGAGTAACGGAACATGCTATCAGGGGAAATGCAAACCAAACTTTGATGGTACCAACTGCACAAACTGTTCTTCTGGGCTACATGGGACATCTTGTAAGTTACCCTGTTCTAAAAGCTGTATCTCGTGTTCCTCAAGTACAAGTTGTGATAAATGCAAACACGGTTACTGGGGAAACGCTTGTGAACACACTTGCTATCACTGGTTTTGTGTTGGAAATAACTGACAAGGCTAGAATGCTTGAAGTAACTCATCTTAAATCTGTACTACAAATCTACATGTACCCTTGACAATATTTGGACACTTGAAGTATAAAATCTAAAATCTTTATATATTTAACACAAAATATATAAGATAAATATAAAATATAATGAAATTTAAATAACTATTATATATAAACATAGTAAAGAACACCTACATTCTTGAATGTATGTGATTCGCACAATAATGTTTGTTCTAAATAGTGGTTAAAGATTTTAAATTAGATTCTAATGGTTAAAGATTTTAACCACTTAATTTACTTGAAGGTTATCATGGATATGTGGCATTTGCCGGCACATTTCTAAAACCATAAGCCCTGCGAGTACGCCAGATATTGTTATTTCTATAGTTAGTTATTTCCACCATTATGCATTAAAATATATTTTAAAGGGAATTTAAAAGAACTATCAGGTAGAAATATTTATACTATGTAGTTGCTTAGACGTATAACACAATCAAAGTGGCATTGCATTGGGATATAACTTGACTTTCTGAAGAAAATTACTTTCCTTCTTTTACATAATATTTGAAGCGTGGTATAATTTCTTCTTCAGGTTATAGCATTTTAATACAGACCACCTATACAAATGTAAGGCTGTTTGGGATCTCATTTCAATTTAAGTCAAATTATTAGGAGAAGTAATATAATATGTCTGAATGCAGTAAACGGCTTTATACACTAAAATTCGTATAATAGCTTATAAAGAAGACAATTACACTAAATGCTTAGATTATTTTTAGCTCAACTATTCGTTAGGAATAAGTAGAGCTATTGTAGTCACCCAAACGTCGGCGTAGCCACTTACGTTAAAGTTTTTGTAATACCTCAAATATTCTCAAAATCCATTGACATATGGTTTTGAAACTTTGCACACTTACCACCCTAATCTGTAGTCAGGAGGAGGTAACTGTATCAAGCATTTTGATAGAATTATATCCCTTTTTCGACTTAGAATTTACATTAAAGTTTTTGTTATACCTCATATATTTTCAAAGTCCATTGACATATGGCTGTGTAACTTTGCATACTTGTTCACCATCATGATCCCAAGCTATAGGCAAGAGGATGCAAGTGTACAAAGTCCATTGACATATGGCTTTGAAACTTTGTACACTTGTTCACCGCTGTAGACAGGAGGATGTAAGTGTATCGAGCATTTTGACAGAATTATACCTCTTTTTCGACTTTATATATTTTTTCTTCCATTTTACTGGTAAATTTGTATTTTACGGACAACTATAGCCTAACGCCGATGTTAGGGACTTATAATATTTCATGTTAGGAAAGTATCCAGGTAGCTTATAGTTCTTATGTGGCTCTACTCATGTGTCTGCATGTGTCAGAAATAATGCACGTAGAGGCACATGAAACATTGAAACTGTTGTATAAAAAAGACATACATCTAACACAGCATGGAATGCAAGAAGATTTATTCAGGTAAAGTGACGAAGAAACATTAAAGTTTTACAAAATAAGAATTGTCATGAACAGTAGAAAAATACAATTTAAACATAATGTACTCGTATGTATCTTTTCTTTTGACCTCTTTTTAACTACATCACATACATGTAAAAATCGATGTACATGTACAAATGATGAGTAGACATCAAAATCAAATAAGTTGGGCAACAAGCTCTTTAGACATTAGATTAAGCATTTTCCTTCCATGTACATATATTCATTACTTTTAAATGTTTTCTTTATGACAAAATACTTGTGTAAGTATCTCTGAGTCAATTATATATGAAGGCTGCATGTTCTCTTAATACTGTATAAAATTCTTAACTTTAATATGGTGAATGAATTTGAGCAAACAACAACAGGATAGCGAATATAGATAAGGGAAAATAAAGAGAAAGGTGAATGAAATGTTTTGATAAAACAAAACATATGTTCGGTCATGTCAGTTTAACAGTCCATTTTCAAAAATTCCAAGAATTCCAATATTTTATTTTTTCCCCAAAAGTCTGAGCAGCATTTTCAATTCCTCTTTTTGTTCATTGGGAGCATCATTTCCTTGTTTGTCAGCACCACCGCTTCCTTGCTTTTGTCTATCGCCACCTTTGCTTCCTGGTCTTTTTCCATCGCCACTTTTTCGTCCTTCATCTCCACTTTTACCCTTTCCACCTTCACACTTGCATTTATCCTCGCCTTCTCTCAATTCCTTCACCTTATCGAGGGCTTTCAAGCAGTCATCGCCTTCTAAGTTCCTCAGCATTCGTCTAAGGAAGCGAGCTTCTGGGTTACTAGAGCCTCCGTCACAGTCAACATCGTTTTTGGTCCTACATTCCTCAAGTGTGGCTACAAGTTCTTCTCTGTCACTCTGAAATGTGCAAGCCAAAAAAAATTAAAAAAGGCTATTTTAAGTATTGTTTCGGTGATAAACCTGTTTTCAAAGGCAGATGGGTTTATTAAATGTCGAAATTCAAAATAATTCCACTTAATTTATTTTAACTGAGGAAAGATCCACTCAAATTTATTAAAACAGAATGGCATTCCATGAAATTTCATAAAGCGCTTTCTTTTGACATAAATCGTATATTGTACAATGTTCAAAAAGTTTAAAGGTGTTTTCAAGAACTAAAACTGTGCCAAATTTCTCATAACTCCTAGCGAAAAGGTTATCTAGTATTTACTATTTCATTAGTATGATTTTTATAAAGAGACAGACATAGGTGATGACGAGAAGGATACTTATGATCACAGTGAAAACCCTTAACAAGGTTTTTTTTAAAAGAACATATACATAACTGTCCCGCATCTCTGATAATTCCTCGGGACGGTTGATTTGCGACAAAACAAATTTCGAACATCCTTAAAAAGGTGTATCCAATCAGTATTTCATTAAAAAAGAAAAGACACAGAGGTGAATAACAGAAAACAATTAAATCACCTACCATAGTCTTTTTTTTCAAGAACATATAGGTGTAACGCATTTGCAATTAACAATTGATAGGCAAAATAAAAAAATTGGTGATTATCTTTGAAATGGTTCCATCTATTAGTAATTCAATTAAAAGAAACCTGAATGAAGTCTGATCCCTAGGAAGCATTAATTGCAACAGAATTACATGAAAAGTGCAATTGATTGAATCCGTACTTGAGGGATAATGAAAAAGTTCACATCGTTCAAATAATGACAGAAAGGGTTCGGATCGAAACAGATAGATATTTTCATATTAAAAACCTAACCTCATTTTCTTCACCACCGAGGCTACGTTCAGCTTCGTCTCTAAGCACTTCTTCTGCGTTCTCTAATAGACGTTCACATGCGGTTTTGTCTTCTTCAACAGTTTCCTGGCGTTTCACTCTCTCCTCTGGAGCTTGGCATTTCAGATGTCTTTCGCAAGCACTTATATCCTACAAAAGCATTTTTTTAACTTTTAAAGCCTGATGTTAACACATAGCTACAAATGAAATGTCTGTCTAATGTATTTACCAGTAGATACATGGATTTATTCTCTGTAAACTTGATTCATAAAGTGCGATGATAAAGAAGGTGTGCTTTTTTTTCTTTGAAGGGCGATACTTATGGTTTTGATATTTTATCAATGTTTGTTATAACGAATCATAAAGAGATTAATATTTCACAAACGAATTTTATAAAAAAACAATATACAAATAACAGTAATTAAATTGCAAAACCGGATGTGTATTTAGTTTCTTAATAACATTTTCGAATCCATCCAGGGACTTTTGATTCTTTCACGTGCTGAAGCTATCCAGCTAGCTTACTAAACGTCAGTGGTACTTTATGTACTTAGCTGCCAGTTTGTGTCAGAAATAAAGAACGGAGGGTCATCTGGAGTTAACCACCACCAGTTAAACCGTCATATGACCTGTACAGTGTTACCCAACCAAAACGATTTACAAGAATATCATTTACGTTTTTTATGTCGTCATGTCACAAACAAGCATGAATTATCGTGTACAAAAATGATTCGGATCTGGGAAGAGACTTTCATAAGCATTAGGTTGCTTCCGGTCTTATCCTTTACTTGTAATGATTGTAAATATCATGTATGTAAAAATGCTTATGTGGCGAAAAAAATATGCTTAAACCAATAACATGGCATACTTAATGACATGCAAAGAATGGGTAATTAATCACTGCGAATTTAATATATAGAACAATATATTTTTAATGAATAATCTTCCATAGTGTATATGTGTCACATAAATTAAGAGTAAAAATATAACTTCATTTAATCTAATTATTTATTGCGAAATAAGGAAGAAAAATAATGACCTTTTCGAACTCCTCCTCGAAAGAAACTTCATCTTCAACATTTTCCGGAGGTGGATCTTGTGATTGACGGCGGTTTGGTGAAGCAAAGGTACTGCTTGACACCAAGACAACGAGCAACAGAACTATGACCTTCATCTTGATTGACCTTGATGACCTTGGTTACCTCAGTGGACCTTGAACAATGCTGAACCCGAGAATAAAGAAAATAAATGACATGTCATAATTTTAGTGTTATTTGTGTTAGGTTTTGCTTTTTGTCGTTGTTGTTTTGGGGGTCGGTGTAAGTGAGTTAATGTATGTATGTGTGTGGGTACGTGCGCGTGTGCGGTTTTTATTGTTTTTTGGGGTGGTTTTTGTTGTTGGTTTTTTTTTTTATTTTTTTTTGTTCTTTTTTTTTTTGGTTTTTTTTCGTTTGTTTGTTTGTTGTTTGTTTGTATGTTTTTATCTTATTATTGTTTTTTTTTAGTCAAATTTATTTCTATAACTACATATATTTAACTCATGTAAGACGTTTTTGAAGAACCATATAAACATTCCAGGAGGTCATAGATAACCATTCACTTCAGTGAAAATACGGAAAATTAAAATACGAATTTTATTTCAATAATGTATTTTTCCAATATTTCATTTACAAGTACATAATGAATCGTACTAAACACGCTTGATACGATTTGTATATTCGTATTTCGATGATGGGCTTATGGAGAAAAATATTCAATCACTTGCTTAATAAATTGTATTCATTTTCATCTTCACTTTAAATATGCTATCTGTAATTTTCAATGAAAAAATATTACATTTTCTTAAATGAATGATAAATATACATAGTAAAATCATCTGAAATATGAGTTTAACTTCAATTCTAAAACAAACCATTTGCATTAATTTTGTATAAGGTTCGTAAGCAAACTATGGTGATAGTTGTTTCTGCCTATACAGTACCGCCCTGATATTTCTGCCTATCCCGTACCGCTCTTATATATCTGCCTTTCCCGTACCGCTCTTATATTTCTTCCTATCCCGTACCGCTCTTATATTTCTTCCTATCCTGTACCGCTCTTATATATCTGCCTATCCCGTACCGCCCTGATATTTCTTTCTATCCCGTATCGCCCTTATATTTCTGCCTGTCCCGTACCGCTCTGATATTTCTTACTATCCCGTACCGCTCTCATATTTCTGCCTATCCCTATATATCTGCCTATCCCGTACCTCTCTTAATTTTTTCCTATCCCGTACCGCTCTTAAATTTTTTCATATCCCGTACCGCTCTTATATATCTGCCTACCCCGTACCGCTCTTATTTTCTGTTATCCCGTACCGCTCTTATATTTCTGCCTATCCCGTACCGCTCATATTTCTGCATATCGTATACCGTATTGATATGTCTGTCTATCCCGTACCGCCCTGATATTTCTGCCTATCCCGTACAGCTCTTATATTTCTGCCTATCCCGTACCGCCCTGATATTTCTGCCTATCCCGTACCGCCCTGATATTTCTGCCTATCCTGTACCGCCCTGATATAATAAACAGAGGGACATCTCCGTTAGATTCTACCCCGCCAGCATTATTGAGTCGCCGTATGACGTGACTGCCGATGTCATTCAGTTGAAAAGCAAATTGAATTTTAACACAACACAGTTTTGAAAATTGCATACTCTCTTTAAATGAATGAACATTATATATTAAATGACCAGAGCGACAGAAAACTTTAAAACAGTGATTTTCTCAATGAAAGTGATATTTCTATGAGAAAAAATGTTTGTTTTGATTCGTTCTATTGTTTTCGTTTACACTAACTTGGAATTTATGTAAATCTAGCAATTTTGTTGAACTTCTAAGACCATTTATACGATCTTTTACTCATGTTTTTACTATTTTCAGGTCAATTGTTTAAATACTGATAATAAAGCCAAACCTTGCCAAAGGAATATCTGCTCCATTTCATAAATAAATATAAGTTAATTTTCAATCATTATAAATATATAATTCAAAGTATTTACATTTCTTTCTGTCAATCCATAGCATCTGGAGACTGGGTCACTTACTGGACAATTGAAAAATCATTTACGAGTCCTTAATAAATTGTCAATATATGAGATGACGTAAATTATTTCACATTTGACAATTGAATAATAAATAAGTAGGTTCTTCCAAGAATTCGTCAGTAATTTTCAAATTTTCTTACACGTCCATTGTATGGATCTGTGGATTTTGTAAGGTTATTCATTTTGAAAATGAGATTTAAGCATATTCGATATGAAATGCATTTACATGATTTGTTTTTAAAAAGATGTATTTTTTGTCAGTTCAATGATTGATTCTCATTTCCAGGTGTTCATATAACTAGATGATAGAAAGTTTATTTATAGAGACAAAATAAAATAGCCATACCATATGCACAAATTTAAGGACCAGTGTCTCGAAAATGACGAAATTTATTTTGAGGTTCTATCTAGAAAACCTGCCATAGAGACAAATCTAGGACATCTGTACTGGTAATATTTTATATTTAAGATGTCGAGATACTTATAATTTTGGAATGAATAAAATTTTAATATACAACAAAGTTTATTTTTCAGTTCTAGAATTTATGAAATGTCGTAATTAAGTGAGAATGAGTGTTTAACACAGTTTTGAATGAATGAACATTGTATGTTTGTTATAAAGAAATGAAATAAATAAGTTTACTTACTTGTTAAATATCGGTTGACGCTCCTAGATCCGTCTGATTTAAACTTGGTTTCGCTTCCAATTTATAGCCCCAAACTTCGTGACTGTCCTGGGAGGGCATTATTTTTCTCCTTTTCTCTTTTCCCCCTATAATAATTCAAATCAAATAGATGTCAAAATAGAGCTCAATATATATATTTTTTAAATAAATAAATCGTGCTTATTTTTCAAACAAGATATTGGATACGTGTCAAGCCCTTATTTCACTAGGTACTTGATTTACAAGTCTGAAATTATGTGTTTATATTCAAATTTATCTTTTGTGCACACACCATCAAAATTATCACGAAGCCTTTTGTCCCATTATCCCCCATTTCTATTTAACCTTGCTGTCAAGATTGTATTTCTTACAGGAGGATACAGTACAATTATCTTTTTAAATATGAAAATTTTTGCGTCATATATGTCAGTTGTTAAAAAATATCTTTTCAACTTCACTCACGATTTCTACTAACTCGAAATAGATTGATCTGTATTCAGATAATAAGCTATTTTCTCTATGCAAATATGGATATTAATGGATGGGTGTCTATAATTATACTAGGTACTTATATAAAGAAACGATTGACCTACAACGTAAAGAAAAATATAACCTTAATAATGACATTTGCCGACGTGAGAAAAAAAAGAAGATTACAACAAATTTAACTCAAAGTCATGAACTATTTTTTGCAGCGTCAGTGTATTTATAATTGATGTTCATGTAGGCAAGTTTTTCTAGCGAGGGCGCTTTGCTTGAATGACATGGTCGATTTTAGATAAAAGAATTCCCATCATTCAGTAAGAATTTTTATCTTTATTTATTTATTTATTTATTTTATTTTATTGTTATTTCTTTATTTCTTTTTATTTATTTATTTTTGTTTTTTTTTTTTTGTTTTGTTTTTTTTGTTTGTTTTTATTTGTTTTTTTGTTTGTTTGTTTTTTTTTGGGGGGGGGGGGGGGGTATCCGAGCGTTTATGTTGACAGGTAAATAACCTGGATTTTTCAAATATTGCTGCAAGTGAGATATTTTTCAGTAGAAACACAATAGAAAATGTACAAACAGTTCATGAAATAATATATCATACATTTAAAAAAGCAATTTTAGTATAATAAGTTTTATTTTTGAATTTAGAAGTTACCGTGTACAGTTTAGGATTCGCGCATATATATATATATATATATATATATAATATATATATATATATATATATATATATATATATATTTCAATTTTGCTAATATATGGGCATGTATATATGTACCGTACATATTCTTCCCATGTACGTTTTGTTAGTGTTGTTGTCGTTGTTTTTTAGCAGTCGTCCGATTAGTTCAGTAGGTATAGAGCTTTGCACTTTGAATCGGGCGACCCGGGTTCGATTCCTGGACTGTGCGGTTCACTTTCGTTGTTATTGATCATGAAACCCTTTCTATGCATGGTCATTCGCACTGTACGGTAACTATACCTCTGCCCCATCGTCGGATACCAACGGCCGAACCATATTAGTCAACCGTGTGTACTCGACGATGACCCTACTCTTGTATGTACATAAGTTACAGTTCCTTGCGAAAGTGAAACCAACTAGTACTGGTAAACTGTTTGACAGCCTGCCCAGGAATGATGCGGTGGCTACACTATGCTCTGGCGAATTCAGTGTGGCTTACTGCCACCGTTGTTATTTAAGATCTATGTGTATTGTATTTTATACACAAATGATCTCATTAATTATAGTTTGTTTAAATTGCTGGATAAAGTTATAAACAGACAGTCATGTTAGTTAAAAGATGTTTTGTACTGAACATATAAACATAAGTAGAAACTGAAACTTAATTATTTAATCTTAAATAGTTTAATATCATTATCTTTCTTAAAAATCTTCACGTACTTTTTGGATAACTCGGCGTAATCTAAGACATATAAAACAGAATAGAATAAAATAGAAAAATACAGAACAAAACAGAATAGAACTGAATATAACAGAACAGGACAGGACATGACAGAGTAGAATAAAATAGAGTAGAATAATGTTTTTTTTTATAATCCTTGGTCTTTATTCAGGTTAAAGCAAATACAATACAATGTCTAAGTATATGTTTGTGTAACTGTGCATGCATATACGAGATATGATTAAAAAGTTCTCGGCCCGATATACTTCTAGCCACAACATTATCATGTCGATACCTATATCTTATTGAAGAAACTGACCAAGTTGCATGCAGTTTTACACAGATTAAGTTACATAAAAAACACACTTTGATCAGTAGAGGTGTGTGTCATTTAGACCAAATTGAGAAAGTTGAAATTAGAGCCGTCATTAAGTAGTTCTGTAAGAAAGGGATGTCCCCCAAGGAAATCCATGAAGACTTCATGGATACATTTGGGAAGGAGTCCCTATCCTATAACACTGTGGAAAAATAGGCTTGTGAATTTAAGAGGGGCAGGGACAGCATTGTAGATGATGAGCGGCCTAGGCGGCCAAAAGAGACCACCGACGATGAAACTGCCGAAGCTGTGCACGATCTGGTCATGTGCGACAGAAGGCGAAACCTGCGAAGCATTGCTTGGGATGTGGGTATAAGCTTTGATTCAGTTCAGGCAATTCTGACTGATGTCTATGACATGATAAAGGTTTCCGCTAGATGGGTCCCCAGTCACTGGCTCATCCCCTCCTAAGAAATTCAAGAGGGTGCCATCAGCAGGGAAGATAATGGCTTCTATTTTTTGGGATAATCAGAGGATAATCATGATTGCATGACTATCTTGAGCAAAGTCGTACCATAAACGGTACTTACTATGCAGACGAACTGAGACGTCTGCGTCAAGAAAACTGGCGTAAAAGTAGGGGCAAACTGACTCAAGGCGTTCTGCTCCTGCACGCTATCCCAAGTTGCGATGGCTGCTGCAACTGACTGCGGCTTTGAAATTCTTCCCCATCCCCCATATTCTCCGGACCTGCCCCGTCTGACTTCTACCTGTTTCCGAAACTGAAAACCAAGCATCGTGGTAGACGTTTTGGAAGCAATGAAGGTGTCGTGTAGGCGGTCAATAAGTCCTTTGAGGACCAAAATAGAGAGTTCTATTTTGAAGGGTAAAACAAGTTGGGGCACAGGTGGGCAAAGTGCATTGATGTAGAGGGCGATTATCTTGAAAAGCAAGACCATTAGTTGGGTCCTCTGACTACCGGAAGTACATTGGGCCAAGAACTTTTTGATCAATCCTTTACATTACACATAAAAAGATTCATATTTAGATACCATATATGGAGCTTTGTCTGTTATATAAGTATCTGGAAAAAAACTAGTCATACTTATATCAGTCAACACAAAAAAAATATAATAATAATAAGTTTGGAATTAAAACTAGGCTTTTAAAATGATATCATTGACAATACAATTATTCTGACAAAAATCAATAGACCTATGTATTTGTACATTGAATTTTGTGCTTCTGCATGTGATTTTAGTGTTTACGCACCATTTTTTATGGTAATTTTTTCTTTTATTGTCATATTTTAAACAAAGAAACAAAGAAAAAATGTTGTTCATTCTCTATATTGTCTAATGTATCCATCATCTATGACAATCATAAAGAAATTCTCTCTCTCTCAAAAGGATTCAGAGTCAAACTGTCCCTTGGTCAACTTGTCCTGTGGTCAACTCGTCACCTTTTTAGTCAACTCGTCCCGTGGACAACCCATCCCGTGGTCAACTCGTCTCTAACTCGTCCCCTATATTTTATTTTAATTGTTTTTCGTGTATTTCATAAATTATTTTAGACTTTGACAAAACTTTATATAAAATTATTGAATTGGACATTTTTTACGCTTTTCGTAAGCGAATATGGTTATTTAGAGGTCTTTATATATGCAATCATAAACTATATATATACATGTATGCATTATCTGACAACTTAGTTATTTATTAAATTACAAAAAGAAAACAAAAAAAAAAAACACGAAGACCATCAATAGCGATAACATTTAATATTTAAGAAACATATCTTTATTTGAAATGTTTCATTTGCAATGATAAAATATTACTTATTAAAAAGTGTTTTTGTCCTAAGTTTTTATGCCGGCTCGCCACGGCGAGCCGGTATTACATTAGGATTTTACTGAGAAACAACCTAAAACTACGAATCAATCCAAAAATTTAATCGAAGCTTGGCTTCCAGCTTTCTACAAAAATTTATCTGTCAGTGCTGGATTCCAAAATTATTTAGCCAATCAAATTTAATCTTACATAGCGTCAAAAAAAAACTTCAATTTTAACGCCATTTTTAAAAAGCAGCAAGTATATTACTTTGATCGCAAAGATATAATGATGATTAAATGTTTGTTTTCATGAATTCTTTTCAATAAATCTTATTCCCTGCGGTCTCCAATCCCTGCGGTCTGGAGATCGCAGGGTATTAGTACGCGTTTAACTTTTGAGGCATGGAGGAGCACGTGACCTGTTTTCGGTACATGGAGGAGCATGTGATCTGTAAACCGTACATGAATGGTTAATTGACCTTTTCGAAAATCTGGCTAAATACCGATTACCGGTATGTTACGGATTTACCTCTAGGGAATGAGTCAGAATTACACCTAATTAAGAACAAAAAACTATTACGTGATATTTCTAATTTTCTATAATTAGTTTACCGTTTTAGGTGGAAAACTTGAATGATCGATGTGTTTGAAAATTATAAATGTTTCTTTAAATTAATATGTAGATCTATCACAAAATTTACTATCAATAAATTGTTTAAACTGAAAATCTACAAAATTAAAATGCTCACGAGTAGTGGCATCTGCCATAATAAATAGAGATATTTTCTGCGTAAACTTGTGTGTTTACTTTATTTATTTATTTTTATTTTGCTCGAAATTTTTCATAAAATGGTAGGCCTATGTAATCATTTTCTTAAAAAGAATAATTGTGTTATGTTCGACCTTCTCCGGTCATCAACGGTCACCAGTTTCCAAAGACCTTCTTCTATATTGATCGATTATTGTCAACTATATTCCTGATACAAACGTTTATTTATCCCCCCAAACAATGTTGAAAATAGTTAAATGAAATATCTTTATATCATTAAAAATGTTCCCCGCAGGAAACCATTTTACTTGTTTACACTGACTTTTGATTTAGCGATTTCACCTGTTTTCTCTGTAGTAAGTTTTCGTTTGGTTAATTAACATAAGTGTTCATCTGGTTCTGTGCATTTTTTTGTCATTTTATCCTTTCCGATATTTAGGGTGGGGGGAAATCCCGGGATCCGGGACGCCCGGGATGCGGGATAGTATTAGATATATAGGGAAAAGGAATAAACTATATTTGTGTTGATTATTGTGGTAATGAAAGGCGATTAAACGATAACTTTTTATTTTTTATTGTATGTTATGAATGGTAAATTAATTCAGATTTAAATATATTTAGAGGGGTGAAAAAGGCGTTAAAAGGCGTGTATATCGCGTAATGGGTTAATACGATCCCGGCTTTTCTGAATATGACATGGCAGTGGTTAATTCCCGGGATCTCTATATATCTAATACCATCCCGGCTTTTCTGAATGATCAAAGATATTCTGTTTAAAATATTGTACACGTATCGTAATGATTTCATAGGGAAAATGATAATCTGTCCTATTGAAAGGTTTGTTTTAATATTTTTAAAGGTACAAGACTATCAATTTGGTTTTGTCATTTTGTTGTTTATTTCATACATTTATGTTAAGATATAGCCTACGAATTAAAGTTTGATATTACCTTTTTATGTTGTTCATTTTTCATTTACTTTCTTGATAAAGTCCTTAACTTAAAACCACCACAAGTATTACTTTGTCTCCTTGCATTAGAGTTTAGAAACAAAAAAGTATAAAAAGGAACATAAGAGCTTCAGTCGTGAAAGAAGACCCCTGGGGCCCCATTTAAGCATTAGTATTCAAGAGAGTATCAACCTAAACAGACCTTTCATTAGCCAGTTGTGTCACTTCCTCAAAACAAAACGTCTGTAAATTCAACCAGTCTTCTACAATTACACATCAACAATAAAAAAAATGGTGAAAATCCATGCACACTTGTTCACCTTCATAATTTAAATCTTTGTACAGGAGATGATCATTATACCAAACCCTCTTACAATATAGATCCCTTTTATGCTCACTATGAGCAAGTTATGGAATTGGGATCCCTATTCATCTGTTGTCCCTAATGTGTAATTTAGTTTCTCTTTAAATTATATCTATGAAACCAAAGACTGTACATTTACCACACTATACAGGAGTCCTCATAGTTGTTAATATTATTCTACACATAGGTCAAGGACACGTCTTATATAGAAACACATACGCAATTAATGCCCAAATCTTAAATATTTGGCATGTGGTACTGCCTTCTTGACCTCTTAAAATTTTTGTTCATGTATCTACATCATATCCATTTTTTAAAAATGTTTCCTATACCAAGATGAAGTGGACATAATTTTTATTAAAATGCTTAGGGAAAATATGTTTAAGTCTTATTGATATAAACTTCAATGCCTCCAGCTTTAATATTGAATATGTACCAATGCCTTGATATCTTGTACAAATCAATTAAATGTTAATCATGCCCCATGAATGTAAATTCGCCCACACCCAAGAGTAATATATTCCTGTATAGGACTTGTGCCTGTCACTCATTCCAATACTAAAAAACATATTACAACTTAACTTCGTATAAAGAGACATCTATATGAATTCTACCTATCTAACAATTTTTTGGTCAAGGTCAACAGTCATATAGTAAATGTGCATAGACATAGGGACTTCTGTTTACATGCAATATTCATATATACTCATATTCCTCTTTGTTAAACTGAGAGAACTGGCTTCCATAACTTTATATGTCACTTTTATTTTGATGTTCGCTAAAGTCTCTTCTGCTAACATAACTATGATCATTTTACATTTAAACACACCCCTGGAAAAAAATTACTGAAAAACCGATGGATAGAATTTTAGACATAACCTTTCAAGATGGCAGCCTCCATGTGTTGAATGTCAAATTATTTTTGTTTCATAATATTTAAAGCAAAGAAATAGTTGATTGCTTAAAAGAAAGACAAAGATACATTAAGAAGATACATATAATCATGTATAAATCGGCTCTTCAACGTCACCGAACGATTTCAATCAGGTAATAACCTTGAACTTTGCCGTATTTCACAAGCCTACTTGATATAGTTTTCGGATATGTAGGTGTTATTAGGACAGCGCCACTATGTACGTCAGGTTTCCGACTGCGGCACAATTCTATAAGATATATTTTTATACAAGTAAGGAAATTATCGTTACGTTGACGATTTACGTATTTTTCCTCGAATTGATCAGTAGATGATCATGTGATGAATAAATTAAGGCTACAATTATAAATAAAAGATCCTGTAACACAATTTTTTATGGTTTTAAATCAAAAATATGGTGCTCATGTTAAGATTTATCAATATTGTAAGTTCCAGAAAGCATTAATTAATATTTATAAAGATTTTACCGAATCTAACATTTCATGTAAATAAAGGGAGGTAATAAAAAATTAATTTTCTATAAAGTTTAAGTCAAATTTTACAATAAGAAATGAATGCATATATTTTAATGATTACATATAAATATGCACAAATATTTGCAGTACATATTTTACATCTTCTTCGATGTTTGAAAATTGTTTTATTTCATAATATTATGTACATACATTCATATTTAAATATCTCTATAGATATTATATGGTTTATTATATTATTTATATATTATATTTATTATTATATTGTGGTCGAGTGGTTAAGGTTGCTGACTTGAGATCACAGGTCCCTCACCGCTGTAGGTTCGATCCTCACTCGAGTCGAAATCTTTCATGTGAGGAAGCCATCCAGCTGGCTTACGGAAGGTCGGTGGTTCTACCCAGGTACCTGCTCGTGCCTGAAATAATGCCCGGAGGGGCACCTGGGGTCTTCCTCCACCAATAAAGGTGGAAAAAATCGACGAAAAAATCTCGGCGGGACGCTCTAGGGTGGCCCGACTTGAGTGTACGGTCGCCCATATGGGCTTACCGGCGGCGACCTTAAATAAACGCATTAAAAAAAAATATATACCGTTTATGCTTTCAAAAGTCTAAAATATGTTGCAGTTTTCTTCTAAGATTCCACTACCATGAAACAATTTCAACCTTTTTAGTAGCCTAATTTATTCGGAGTGAACGGTTTGACCCATTTTACAAACTTTTTTTTCATACTTGGAAACCGTTACATCGCCTGTCCAAAATTATCTTGACGTCTCTTTGACAAGTCTTATTAGTTGGACTACCTTTTTGGACGGTTAATGTATTGCTACTAAAAATTCAGGGAAAGTTGACCAGTCAATGCTAAAGTCAAAATTTTTTTTCCGGCCACAAGGACTGGGATCCTTATATTTATTTCCGGCCCTGATGATTTTTTCCCGGCCCGGACTCTGTATTTTTTTGTAGGGGTGGGAGGGGGGGAGGGATGTTGCCATAATTATAAACAAAAATATTTAGAAAATATGAATTATCAGACTTAACTATCAGATACTATGAAAAAAATATACAAAAACATAATACATGTATATAAAACTTTAGTTTAATTCACAAGAAAACGATACATCTTTCAAAGGTTGGAGACAAAATATGTTTTGGTAAGGAAATTGTCCAAGACAAGATGGTGGCTTACATTACTTAGCAAAAACTGGTTGTATCTTGCGGTGATTTTGGTTATCTGGGTCTGTGAATACAAGCAAAAATGAAAAAAAAAAGATCGATCTTGGAAGTTTTGCATATTTCAGAAGGCCAAAAATTTTCAAACTGGCTGAAATTTTATTCGGACATGAGGACTGACTGTATAGAAATTTATCTCGGCCCTCCTGATTTTTAGTTGGCGAGGTCCGAGGACCGACAGACTTTCGCACAGACTGAGTTGACTTATAAACACCTATTAAGTACTGTGAAAGAGCCCAGTACAACACATGTTTTCTACAAATAAATACAATGAAACTTACATTTACCTTTTTAGATGTTTGGACCTCAATGGATTCCTTTAAAATCAACATCTAGAAAAAAAATGTACCAGTTGGTCTATTTCCAGCCAAGTTTATAATATCATACCTTTTGCTACCATAATTTTTTTGATAGTAAAAATCACAGCTCTGGCACTGCAATTTAAACAAATCTCATTTAAGCCCTGAAATTAAAGAAACTTAGCTCATTTCGCTTGCTTTTCCTATCCTTCCCAAAGAGTATTATAGGTGAGCTTGGGGGCGTCTGTGGCCGAGTGGTTAAGGTCGTTTACTTCAAACCACTTGCCCCTCACCGCTGTGGGTTCGAATCCCGACAAAGACTTTCGATTCTTTCATGTGAGTAAGCTATCCAGCTAGCTTACGGAATGCGGTGGTTCTACTAAGGTGCCCATTCGTGCCTGAAATAATGCAAGGAAGGGCACCTGAGGTCTTCCTGCACCAGTAAAGCTGGAACATCATGATATGATCTATACTGTGTTGATGTGAAGTAAAACCCAAAACAAACAAACAAAGGTGAGCTTGGTTACAGTTGGTTGGTGCAAAGGATGGTACAGTGTTTTGGACATATTCCAAGTCAATTTGGAGTAGCAACAAAAACCTATCACATTCCCTCCTCTATCCCCCCCCCACCTTCCACTTTCACCCCATTCCATAGCAGGTTTGTGGGTCAAATTTATGATTAATTAGTGCAAAAGATGGTTTATAAATTTTATAATAATCATAATGAAGAATGCAATAGAATAGTAAGTAAGTGAGAAGGGAGAAAACTTAAAAAGGAAGAAAACTTTAAAGACATTTAAGTAACTGCATGATATTTTATTCCTTCAGACTGTATCATTCAAGCAAACTCCTGAAATCATATCCCAAGGGGAATGTGAAAACAAAAACTGTCCTTGACACAGCTAGGGCCTTGCAGCCCGGAACAAAACTTCATGGATATACTGTGAAAAAGGTATAGTTTTATGGACTTCTTTAGTACATGCCTTTTTTTTATTTGGTCATACAAATGTATGGGAAATTTTCTTTTTACAAAATTGATAATGACTTTGTAAAGTGTCATTTGTTTCATTAGTTTTCCTAAATGAATGTGTTTACTACTGGCATTACATATGTCAAACTTTTCTCAGAATGTAACAATGTTAATTTTTAGAGACTCAACAATTCAAAGACTAGGAATAGCTATTGTACTCACACCAGTCCTGTTTTGGAGTCACATTTTGATTAACTTTTTGCATGCAAATTGGTATCTTCAACACTACTGCAGGGAATGGGTTGAAACTTCATATTTAATACATGTTTAACACTTGTTCTCTGTGATTATGTAACACAATGGGCACAAGTCCAAAACTCTGACTTACTGTTTTTCAAGGTAATGCCCATTTTCTTACTGTCAAGCGCTGAGAATAGTCGGTAAAATTCTCCCTTTTTGTACAGTACAATCATGATCCTGTTCAAGAATGATATGTTCTAAATAATCTGATCATTTTCACACGAAAAAAAAAATTAAAAAAAAAAAAAAATTGTGCATATTTTTGAAACCAATATTCTTCATTGGGTAAGGCTAAGATTATGTAAAAAAATCATTTTTTTAGGTTGAAAATGTACCAGAACTGTTTTTGACAACAGTTGCTTTGAATCATGATTTGACGGGAGCGGAGCATCTTCATGTAGCCAGGGATGATACCAACAATGTTTTCAGGTATGTATACAAGTTTATAATATTCTGAAGACCTATCTCCTCTCCATAATTTTGTCTTGTAAGTTGTCCAAGATCATCTTTTGGCAACAGTTACCTTTAGTCATGATCTGACTGGAGCCAAGTATCTTCATAAAGGCAGGGATGATTCATATATTTAGTTACCAAAACTCCCCTACTCCCCCCTCTACCCCAAATCACCTGCAACAGATTTGATATAGTTCTGTCTTGAAACCTCTTTTTGTGTATTAATTATATCTCCCATGTTTTTTAAAAATAATTTATATCAGTGGTTAAAAGATTTTATGTAGAAAGGAATGAAGAAAAATTTGATCTGTTTATTGAAAGTTATTTTTAAAATTGCTTGCCTTCAAATAAGTGACACCAATTTCTTTTAGAAAAATACGTTTAAAGATAAGGAAATGATAAATGATTTTAATGATTCTCTGCATATGCAATATGAATGTCACCCTATTATACAATGATAATGACCATTGTCCTGACAAATACTGTGTATAAACTATACTTTGGCATTGAGCAACTCGCCTGATTGACTGTTTTACTTTCAGTGTTGCGTTCAGGACAACCCCTATGGATAGTACGGGTGTTCCTCATATTCTCGAGCACACGGTCCTGTGTGGGTCTAAGAAGTTTCCAGTGAGAGATCCCTTCTTCAAGATGCTCAACAGATCTCTAGCTACATTTATGAATGCTTTAACAGGTATTAAATAATAATTGGTAAATTACTTTGTATTTAAAATTTAGAAAAACTAGCCTGTACAAAACAATTATAGTAAACCAGTCCATATATAGTAATTTGTAAACAGTCTGTATAAAAACAATAACCAATTCAGTCTGTGTAAATATGTGTGTATAAAAGTAAAAACAATAAGTAAATCAGTCTGTATAAAACAATTAGTAAACCAGTCAGTGTGAAACAATTAGTAAACCAGTCTGCATAAAACTGTTAGTAAACCATTCTGTATAAAACAATTAGTAAATCAGTAAACCAGTGTGTGTAAAACAAGTACATGTATGTAGTTTACTTATCTGTATAAAACAATTTATTTAGTAAATCAGTAAACCAGTGTGTATATAAAAAACTATATTACTAGTCTGTATAAAACAATTAGTAAATCAGTAAACCAGTGTGTATAAAACAATCAGTTTACTAGTCTGTATCAGACAAGTAGTAAACCAGCTTTTATAAATCAATTAGTGAACAAGTCTGTATAAAACAATTAGTAAACCAGTCTGTATAAAACAATTTGTAAACCAGTCTGTATAAAACAATTTGTAAACCAGTCTGTATTTAATAATGTATAAAACAGTTTATCAAATATTTTGATATTTCTATTTCCTTGCAGCAAGTGACTGGACAATGTATCCATTTTCAAGTCAGAACAGACAAGATTATAATAATTTGTTGTCCATATACCTTGATGCTGTGTTTTATCCACAACTTAGGGAGCTAGATTTCAAGTAAGCAATTTAGTCTTTCTTTCACCCTTAGTCAGCAGGCAGCAACAAATTCTGCCTGTGTGACCAGTGCAAACCAAGATTAGATGGCATTCAGCTGCCCTGTTAGCTTTTCATTAAAGTACATGTTTTGAAATTTTCCCTAAAAGTAATGAATGGTTTTGTCCAGATTGAAAGATGGACAAGTTCATTTAAGATATTTATCATGGTTTTGGGTTGTTGCAGCACATCTTTAGGCTAGAAAAATCACTTATAAGATCCAATGTTAAGAATTACATTTTTATAAGTTTAAGGAGACTCCAATGAGGTTTTCAACATGAAGATACCAGAAATATTTTTAATATAGGCCCTGGATCAATATCTTGTGTGCACAATTTCAAATTGTTTCAAATCATTCACTCACTCTATCTCTTCAGAATACACATGTATATAGAAATATTTTTATAAATATATGCAAATATTTATCTATTTTATATTTTCAGCCAAGAAGGTTGGAGACTGGAACATGAGAATATACAAGATAAAGATTCACCAATCAATTTTAAAGGAGTGGTTTATAATGAGATGAAGGGTGTTTTTGTAAGTATGATTTTATTTAACGTCTTGTGTCCATCCACTTAGCTCAATAGGGAGAGCGTTAGATTGGTAAACCAGGGGCCACTGGTTCAATCCTAATTTCTCTGTTACAGGTGAATCTAGTAAATTGAGTTAAATGGTCATTTGTATCTCACTGTTGAAAAACATGTGGGATACGTAGTCAGTCACTGGCAGAGAAATTGGTAATTAATGGTTAGTTATCCAGAAAAGCTGGTAAGTTTGACCGACTGCAGAGATATGACCAAAAGTTTGTTAAAATCACATGAAAATCCAAAAACAAACAATCAAAGCAAACAAGGCATTTGTCTCATTCTTCATTATTAATAGTGTTATATAAAATTTTATACTGCTCCTAAACTTGTCTGATACAGTACATGCATATAGTTCCAAGTTTTTCCTCCAGTCCTGTCACACTCACTTTCCAATTCTTTTAGCACCTTTTATATACTAACAGATTTTTCTAATTTATTTTTGTGTGAAGGTCAAGATCATTGAGGGTTAATAATAGATTTTCCTACTCGTCCTTTGAGTAAGGCCCTATTTGTTTTACCTTTGTCAAAGGGAATTAGTTTTTGTTTTAGGTTTATTTAGTTAAAAAAACATTGCTTCTTGTTCTTGGCACAGGGCATGTCTTCCTTATATTCTGATCTCTTTTGTTTTGTTACCCCCACCTGTTTTAACAGGTAATTTCTGTCAATAACGACATATATAAAGATTGCATGTATGGCCTGAATAAGCAAAAAAAAATCTTAATTCAAGGGCAGATAACTCAGAAATGAGGTTGGTTACCCACATTGTTCTTTTTCCTGAAAATGTTTCTGTGATCATATTCTTAGATCGTTCAAAGTTTAAATAATTTCTGTTTTGTTAATTTCAATCTGATATATTTCTATATTAACCTTAGCATATGACTTTTAAAAATAAGTTCAGTCAAGTTGACTCACTTAATGATGTATCACCCTTCTACATTTCAGTCGAGTCAGCAGAATATATTTGCGGAGACAGTACAGAATAAGTTACTACCTAGTCACACATATGGCGTAATCTCAGGAGGTGATCCAGATTACATTCCAGATTTAACTTGGGATCATCTGAAAAACTTTCATAAAACACACTACCACCCAAGTAATTCCAGGTATAAAACCAAAGTAATTCTAGGTATATCACCCAAGTAATTCCAGGTATAAAACCAAAGTAATTCTAGGTATATCACCCAAGTAATTCCAGGTATAAAACCAAAGTAATTCTAGGTATATCACCCAAGTAATTCCAGGTATAAAACCAAAGTAATTCTAGGTATATCACCCAAGTAATTCCAGGTATAAAACCAAAGTAATTCTAGGTTTACCACCCGAGTAATTCAAGGTATATCACCCAAGCAATTCCAGGTATAAAACCAAAGTAATTCTAGGTATATCACCCAAGTAATTCCAGGTATAAAACCAAAGTAATTCTAGGTATATCACCAAAGTAATTCTAGTTATATAACCAAAGTAATTTTAGGTATAAAACCAAAGTAATTCTAGGTATAAAACCAAAGTAATTCTAGGTATAAAACCAAAGTAATTCTAGGTATATCACCAAAGTAATTCTAGTTATATAACCAAAGTAATTTTAGGTATATCACCTAAGTAATTCTAGGTATATAACCAAAGTAATTTTAGGTATATCATCCAAGTAATTCCAGGTTTAAAACCCAAGTAATTCTAGGTATATCACCTAAGTAATGCTAGGTAGAGCTGTCATCGATAGAGTCAATATCGATGTATTGATGATATTTTTCAATAATAAATACACATTTGAAAAATTCGATTATTTTCATAAATTATTTAAATGTCTATAAATTATGAAAATTTACTGAAAACATACAAAAGCAGGTGGCCATGTCTAACACTTCTTTGTTGTTGCATAATGGACACATTTCATAGCAGTGATGACAAAAAAATGGTTAAAAAAAAAAATCATGCAAAGGTCATTTAGAAACGAAACACAACATTTTTGCAGGAATGGAAGATTTATGTTACTAAAATCATTTAAACAAGTATGAAAAAGTATTATATGCAAGAAATTTGGAGTATTTATCGATATATCAGTGTATCGCCAATATTTGTCAACCAATATCGGTATATCATCAATATGCTTTGCACTGAATCAATGACAGCTCTTATTCTAGGTATACCACCCAAGTAATTCCAAAGTAATTCCTGGTATACCACGCAAGTAATTCCCAAGTAATTCCTGGTGTACCAACCAAGTAATTCCCAAGTAATTCCTGGTGTACCAACCAAGTAATTCCCAAGTAATTCCTGGTATACCAACCAAGTAATTCCAAAGTAATTCCTGGTATACCACGCAAGTAATTCCCAAGTAATTCCTGGTGTACCAACCAAGTAATTCCCAAGTAATTCCTGGTATACCAACCAAGTAATTCCAGATATACCTCCCAAGTAATTTCCAAGTGTACCACCCAAGTAATTCTTAAGTAATTCCAGATATACCGCCCAAGGTATAAAGGAGAATGTTACATGAGTGGCAGTGAAAGGAGGGCTATTGGGTAAAGTTGTATTCCCACTAGTCCCCAGGTAAAGTGTAAAATGCAACTTTACTCATTCCAACAGTATGACACTTTCATGTGCAAAGAATTGATAATGTAGTGTAAAGAAAAATGTGTGAAGAAATTCTGTACAGAATGAAAGGAGTTCACCTTTTTGTTATGTGTAAGTTAGTTTATGAAAATGCTTAGACGATCCAAATAACAAGGCGAGATAATGAAATGTCATGCCATATATGAAACAGTTAATGATTTTTTACATAAATTTAATAACAATTCTGGAAAATTGGATCTTTTAAAATTTGAAGGAGACAACAGAAAATCAGGATCTTATGCAACATAATAGTGAACAAATTTGACTGTGTATGTATTTTTTTATGTTTTAACATACGTAGGTTTTTCACGTATGGAAATTTCCCGCTAGAGGACCACCTACAGTATATCAACAACAACTACCTCAGCCACTTTAAGAAGATTGAAACAGATACGTCGGTCCCTCTTGAACCGAGATGGAGTAGCCCTGTAAGTGTCTTTTACTTAAATGCCCATTATGACTCAGAAATGCTATGATATTTATTTCTCACAAACTTTCTATTTATTATCTTGTAACAGTTTCCAGAATATACTTATCTGCCACATAGATTACTACTTTTGCTCTGTTGGCAATTTGTATAATCATAGTGAATGAGTATTTTGTCAAAATACTACTTTTGTACAAAACAGACGTCTACCTTAATAGACGCCACATTTGGCAGGAGAAAACAAACGTTATATAATAAAATAAATAGACTATTACTGTTTTATACAATATTAAATATGTACATGTGTATATATACTAAGAAAATCAATACAAGTGGAACAAACAATCAACACAGGATAAGTTTTAAGGTTTATTTAATGATGATAACCGACGTTTCGACTCTCACGAGTCTTCATCAGGGTTATAAAAAATGTATATGTGTATATATAATACACTTGTTGAATTTATTTACTAGCTACCTTTATAACACATAACAGCACATTCAGCGCAACTTTCTTCTGTTGTTTATAAACATCTAATATGCTCAAAATCCATTATGGAAATAATATCAAACACATGTTTAACATTTCTAAAGAATTAAAAAAATTTATGGATGTCTGACGCATGATGTGCTTTTAAAGCGGTACATCTCTATATGAGTTAATATATCATTAAAAATCAAACTTAAGCCAAGTATATTCATATCTTAAAGCTTGAGAAATATGTTCATAACATAAGTACAAATAATGCACAATTTGAGTTCAAATGCTAAGGAATATAATATGAAGGCTAATAGGCCTGAGTGATTAATTACAAAGCATTTGAATGATAAACCATGCATTATAGTATGATATATATAGAAAACTTAATATCTATTTCCATTCTAACATGCTAATAAAAATGAATATTGATAAAAATGTGTTGAACTACATTGAGCGTAAAAGTAATTTTCCTGACATCATTTGGTTTATACACGTCATTTATGATGTCATATGTTTGGTAAGCATTCGCTTTTTATGCTGTACGTATCTAGTAATAATGCACTTGATTTCCCTATCTGTTTCATAGGGAAATAGTAAGAAGTGTGTTACATTATAATATATATTATTAGCAGGAACATACATATCAGATTCCAAAAGCATGCACATCCTTTTATATGTTTATTAAGCTTGAGTAGTTTATTGATTAAATATATGGCATGTCTTTCAGAGAGAGGAAACAATCACCTGTCAACCTGACACAATGGCTCCAGACCCTAACAAACAAACAACAGTAGCCGTCAACTTCTTGTTGTCTGAGTAAGTTGCCCAAGAATTAGCTCCCTTGACTGCAAGCTTTTTAGTTGTATTCACTGTCAATGTTTCAGATATGGCATTTTTTTTCTCCTTTTGATGCCATTTTTTATTTGCCAGTGCTTTAACATTACAAGTATGGTACTTATGACCTCAATTGTTTCCTATATAGTATTTTTAGTTGTCAAGGGTGTTGAAAGTTTAAAGATGGCATTTATTACCTCTCTTGATTCTTATTTATAGTATAAAGTTAATAAGATTGTAGATTTCTAGCTGCTTATACTGTGTTGCTTTAAACATGGCATCCATTCTCTCCTTTGCCATCTGCTTTTGCAGGTAATTGCCAAGGGTGAAAATGCTTAAGTGTGAGATAAGTTACCTCCCTTGTATATTTTAGTTGCCTTAGACATGGCCTTTAATAAAGGATACATTTGTTTATCACAAAGACAGTTAATCTTACTGTAACTAAATGTATGCGCTTTATTTTTTGATTATCATCATGCATTTCTTTCAAATGCCACAAATTTTCATTATCCAGTACACTGTATTTATTGTTTGCCACTATTCTAAATCTTGCCAATTGATTGCAATATTTGTAAGATTTACAGACTGGTTCCAAGGTTGTGAAAGGTTTATATATCTAGCATCACCACAGATAAACATAGGATGAAACAAATATACATGTTTCAATGTTTGCCACTGTTTTTGCCATGGACTTCTATTTTCTATGGCTCGTTATTTGCCATGGCCTTCTTTTTTCTATGGCTCATTATTTGCCATGGCCTTTTATTTTCTATGGATCATAATTTGCAATGGCCGTCCATTTTCTATGGCTCATTATTGGCCATGGCCTTCTGTTTTCTATGGCTTATTATTTGCCATGGCAGATCTACTGACAGGTTCTATGCTCATGATTATTTTATAACTCTGATAAGTTTTATGCCACAAATATGTATGTTCCACTTTATCACAATTTGCAACTATATTTGCCATGACACTATACATAGCAGACAATATGCTACAGTAAATAATGGCAATATGTTACTTTATATGCCATGATGGAAATCTATAGCTCTTTATGGCTATGCAATGGCAATATGTCACAGATTTATACAGTTTTCTTCCTCATGATTTCTCAGTGACAGTTTATAATTGATATATAGTCTAATGGTCATTTGTCACTCATTGATGATTCAGAAATCATGTGATCTTTTCCAGAGAAATTGGTAATTTAATGGTTATCGTTTTCCAGGAAAGCCTGTTAGGTGGACCCACCGACCGCTGAAACAGGGAAAAATATGTTCAAATTGATATACCAACCAAACAAACATGCTAATAAGTATTGTATAATTGTAGTATTACTGATGTTGAGGAAGGGACTACCCTGAATATAATCTCAAACCTGCTTACAGACGGGGAAACTTCACCATTCTATCAGGCATTACTCGAGGCAAACATCGGATCTGATTATGCTCCTGTTGTTGGGTAGGTAACTTTGATAATTTATATATTTCTTGTTCCTGATCACCACAACTTTTTTAGGTAACTTTAATATCTTAAATATGTTTTTTGCTGTCCCCAACCACCTCAAATTTTAATGCTTTTTCTGTATTTAAAAAGAAAAAATAATTGCAATTTTATCACCTTTTGAGAAAAGTGAATGTATCAATTAATATACTAAATTTTTCCAATTTTTGTATTGCCTTCATCATTCCATGGTATGTTTTCCCAATTTTGTAGTTCATATGAGCTTCAATGAGGTTTAAAAGCCTAAAAAATTTAATACCTAAATAGATAGATAGACTTGGATACTAAAAATTGAAACATTTGCAAAAGAATACAAGAAAATGTACTGAAATTGAAAATATTTTTTTTGTGTGATTGTTAGTCCATTTTGAGTTAAAAGCATTTAAACCCATGACAACTTTGGTTGATTTTGAAAGGAATTGAGCAATAAAATGAAGTTTTTATCACAAGTTATTATAAAAGTGACATTATGCTCGTTTATTTTTTTTTTCATTTTGTTTTTTGTTTTTGTTTTGTTTGCTGTTGAGTTGAATTAATAATAGAATGTATATTTCAAAAGATGTGGTATGATAATTTTGATTTGCCAAGAATTGAGAATGAAATTGAAATATTTATGTTTCAATATAAAAACAACATAAATTATTAAAAAAACAGTCCCACTCTTTTTAAGGATTGAGCATAACCAATACATTCTGAATGATAAATATAGAAATTGCTCACTTGTATAAATGATTATTTTTTTATAGTAAACTATAAGATTTAACATTATTATGGCAAAATGACAAGTTATTTTTATTTTTGCCTTTCCCCCTGTTCATGGACTACTACTAGTATTTACACTTGGATGGGCATAACGTCACTTTAACTTACATCAAATGCTATACAAATCTTGCTTAAAAAATCTCCGCAGTCAAAACCTAAGTAAAAAACAAATCACCATTTTTAGGTACAATGGGTACACCAAGGAAAGTTCTTTTTCTGTCGGTTTACAAGGTATTCACAAGGACGACGTGGAGAAAGTGAAACAAATAATCTCCGACACGATTGACAAAGTTATACAAGAAGGATTTGAACAGTCGAGGATAGATGCTTTATTACACAGAATAGAACTCAGTACAAAACATCAGACGAGCAACTTTGGTCTTGGCATCGTAATGGTATTCGATATTTTATATTTCTTGGTGAAAATGACTGCCCTTTGCCACAATTATCGAGGCAGGTCTGTCGGAACATTCTAGAAGTCTGACCAGACATTTTACATCTAGCTGCTTTATTTTAATATTTCTGAACAAAACCTTGATCATGATATTTTAAAAGCGGCCGTCAGCTTTTATTTTATGCAAGTAGAGCAATTCTGTGCTTAAATGAGGCTCATATAATATAATTTTAATTCAATTTGGTCAATAAATTTAGTATTGATTTACCTACACAAATTCAGTATCCTCTATATATAACATGTTTTAAAGCAGCACGCCTCCAGATTCATGCTAATTTTTATGTAAATTTTGAAAATGTATTTGAATGTGTAATATCGTGAAGTGACCAAAAGGAAGCAATTTACACATTATCAATGGCACTTACAAACCATGTTAATTACCAAAAACAGTCTTCGAAATTAGCACTCGCCCGATCGCCCAGGCAAGTAAATATTAAATTCGGGCGACTCAAAAATTCAATTTTGCTCGCCCGCCTGGCGAGTAAAATTTCCGATCGCCATATTCATTATAGTGGTGTTCAACCGCGCACATTTTGCCACGTCACTACTGTTTCTTGGCCTACTTCTGTTAGCCATGTAAAGCGAGTAATTTATTGGGAACCAACTTTGTTTATGTTCCGTTTTCCATTGTCAAACGACAAGTATCGTATCGTAGTAACCATGAAAAATGATTTTCATGTACAGCAGGGAATAACAATAAATTAAATTATGACACAAGACTTGTATTGGATTTCCTTTTGTTTCTTTTATTTACCTTCAGCATTAAAGATAAAAAAACCATCAAAATTTGAAAAATTTATTCGGGCTAATAAAGTTGGTTTCGGGCGAGAAACTTCTCAAATGTTACCGGCCCGAATGGCCAGTAACTTTAAAATGTTAATTTCGAAGACTGCAAAAATTGGTCAAAATATGCATTAATAGCCTTTACTGCATTAGTAACGCAGTAGAAATATAGTTGTACATACTGAAAATTCAGTCATTAATCACACATAATATGTAAAATATTACTTGAATCTTCAAACTTTTTACTTTTCCTTTCATTTTAGTTCATTTTTCTCAAGTTTGATTTCATTGAAATATTTCACTTATCTGGAGGCATGTAGCTTTAAGAATTTGTTATAATATTGTCAAAAGTGTTTTGAATGTTTGTTTATAACATGACCCACGGTGCAGGAGTGTTGTAAACCCATTCATTATTTTACGTATTAAATGGGTCAGTAATACACTAGTGTAATAAATATGCTATTGAGCCGAATCACTATCACTACGCGCTGTCAAAAAACATAAACAAATATGGCGTCGAATGTCATTTCTGTCAACGATCAGGTTCGAATTGACGGTCACGGTCTTGGAATCGTCACTGAGATAGTTTACCGCGGGTTCACCACGAGCTACATGGTCAGGCTAGTTGACAGTAACTTTGAAGTTGAACTTGAAAGGGAGAGATTGACGATTGTGCCTACCGACGAGATGAACGCTATGTCCGAACAGACTCCACGGCCAAGGTCCAGATTTAATATTGTCTCTGACTCTGATGTTGACGCCTTTAACCACGAGCAAAGTAATAAAAACACTCTCATAAAAACTGTTAATGATTTGAAAATTCTGAAATCTTTCTTTGAAGAACCTGAGATAAACGAAAATCGTGAAATTTATGAAATTCCAGAAAATGAATTGTCCTCATTACTTTGCCGGTTTTTAGTCAGTGTCAGAAAGCAAAATGGAGACGAGTATGAGCCTTCAGTCCTGCGTGGAATGATATCTAGTTTTGATTGACAGTTACGTCGAAAAGGTTATGAACAAACCATTGCTTTGGGCCCTGGATTTGCTAAAGTTCGAGAGACACTGTCTATGAAACAACGACAGCTTAAAAAAGATGGGAGGGGTAACTTGCCAAAAAAAAGTGAACCGCTGTCTGACAAAGATATAAACCATTTATGGAACTCAGACCAACTTGGCACAAGAACACCGGACACTATACTTCAAACACTTTGGCTGTACAATACCATACATTTTGGACTTAGAAGTTGTCAAGAACACCGTGATATGTGCTGGGGAGATGTTTCATTAATGGCCGATGATAACGGACATGAATACTTGCAATTTTCGGAGAGACAAACCAAAACACGGTCCGGTGAAAATCCGAGAGATGTGAGGGTAATAAAACCTAAGATGTGGGCAAATGTTGTAAATCGTGATCGATGCCCGATTGCCGTTTACAAATTGTACGCTGAAAAACGTCCAATGAATTATTCTGAATTTGACCATCCATTTTATATTGCAACTACAACTATCCACTTACCTTCACCCCGTGACACCTGGTTTAAACGAAATCCAGTCGGAATCAACAAACTAGGATCAATGATGAAGAGAATGGTCCAGCATTCTGGTTTAAATTCAAGTAAACGCCTTACTAATCACAGTGCACGAAAATACCTTGTTCAAAAATTGAATGACAGTAACATTCCTCCTAACCAAATTATGCAAATATCCGGTCATAAGAATATAGCATCCATCAACAATTATAGTCACATAAATCAGAATCAGCACAGACAAATATCAGACATCCTTCATTCCAATGTAAAAGAAAACAATCCAGCGGCAGCGAATCACATTCCATATCCGTGTTCAAATTCTGCACAGTTAAACCATAACACAGCACATGTCAACACCGATTCAAGGTCCAATCTTCATGTATCCGGTGGGTTTCAGAGTATTTTCAGCGCTCCCATACATGGTGGAACATTTCATGTGCATGTTCATCAAAATGACTCCAAATTAAATCAAAATTCAGGCCACAAACGTGCACGATACATAGACAGCGATAGTGATTAAATTCGAGTTCATATGCAAGATGCCGGTTATCAAACTTTACACACATGAACAGTGACGTCATGAGTAAGATGGTGACAATGTGATATTTTTACAAATGAATGATATTAAGTCTTGTTATTGCTATAAAAACATGTTATGAATTTGACGAAATAAATGTGATATTATATGTCAGTAAGCACAATAGTTTTTCCTTAAAACAAACTGTTTTAACTAGTACTACTTTTTTTAGCGCATGAGGGTCAGAAACCGTATAACAACTTCAACCCATTTCTCCTTATATAGAAAAAAGGCACAGCAATTTATTTTCTTCGTTTATCAGAGCGCTTTTTCTGGTCATGTTATAAATAGAACCTTAATTTCGTGTTTATGTTGTATTAAATTTATTAAACTCGTCATCTGAAAACGATAAAAACTCGGCAGAGCCTCGTTTTTATCATTTTCAGATGACTCGTTTAATAAATTCAATACAACATCAACACTCATTCAAGATCCTCTATTTATATAAATTCAATATACTGTGCGTATTCTTTGATTAGTCTGTGACATCAATGTGGAACCATGATGGTGACGTGTCGGAGATGTTACGTGTCAACAACCAGATGAAGCTGTTTAAAGAGAAATTGAGGAACGATCCACAATATATACAGAATAAAGTCAAGCAGTATTTCAAGGTAAAATTTTAATTTCATGCAATTTTTGTATACTACTTATATTTGTTTATGTATCATTTTTTTGATGGCTTAGATATTGGTTGAAAACTTCTGTTGTAAAACTCACCAGTTTTGAGAGTGGAGGAAACATATATCAGGCATGAAAGTGTGAAAATGCACCTGAACCAGCAATTCAGTAAGCTTGCTGGTTAGCTTCCTCACATGAAAGAAAACAAAGTCCCAGAAAATCCATCCTTGTTAATCTGAATTTGACATATATTTACAGGATAACTCTTATATATTTATTTCACATATATCTATAGGATAACTCTTATATATTTATTTTACATATATCTACAGGATAACTCTTATATATTTATTTCACATATATCTATAGGATAACTTTTTTATTAGCTCACCTGAGCTTGCTCAGGGTGAGCTTTTAGGATCGGTGAATGTCCGTCGTCCGTCGTCCGTCGTCCGTCCGGCCGTCCACAATTACTTGTGAACACTCTAGCGGTCGCATTTTTGCCTCAATCATCATCAAACTTGGTCAGGATGCTTATCTAGTTGAAAGCTCGGATTAGAGTTCGAACATGGGTCATCTCGGATGAAAAACTAGGTCACAAGAGCTAAAAATAGAAAAAACCTTGTGAACACTCTAGAGGTCACATTTTTGACCCAATCATCATCAAACTTGGTCAGGATGTTTGTCTAGGTGATAGCTTGGATGAGTTCGAACATGGGTCATCTCGGATGAAAAAGTAGGTCACAGGAGCTATAAATAGAAAAACCTTGTGAACACTCTAGTGGTCACATTTTTTGAACCAATCATCATCAAACTTGGTCAGAATGCTTGTCTAGTCAATTGCTTGGATGAGTTCGAACATGGGTCATCTCTTGATGAAAAAAACTAGGTCACAGGAGCTAAAAATAGAAAAACCTTGTGAACACTCTAGTGGTCACATTTTGACCCAAATCATCATCAAACTTTGTCAGGATGCTTGTTTAGATAATGCTCGGATGAGTTCGAATATGGGTCATCTCGGATGAAAAACTAGGTCACCGGAGCTATAAATAGAAAAACCTTGTGAACACTCTAGTGGTCACATTTTTGCATCAATCATCATCAAACTTGGTCAGGATGCTTATCTAGTTGATAGCTTGGATGAGTTCGAACATGGGTCATCTCGGATGAAAAAGTAGGTCACCAGAGCTAAAAATAGAAAAACCTTTGTTTAACACTTTAGCGGTCACATTTTTGCATCAATCATCATCAAACTTGATCAAGATGCTTGTCTAGGTGATAGCTCGGATGAGTTCGAAACATGGGTCATCTCGGATGAAAAACTAGGTCACAGGAGCTAAAAATAGAAAAACCTTGTTAACACTCTAGTGGTCACAATTTTGACTCAATTGTCATCAAACTTGGTCAGGAAACTTGTCTAGGTCATTGCTGGAATAAATCGAACATGGGACATTTCGGATGAAAAACTAGGTCACAGGAGCTAAAAATAGAAAAAAATCATTGTTAACACTCTAGTGGCTACTGTTGTGATCCAAATATTCTGTTAATTGGTCTGAAAGTTTGTTTTGATGATTTCTAAGTCAAGATCGAACATGGGTCATCTTGGATGAAAAACTAGGTCACACCGCCCAAATAATGGAAAAACCTTGTTAACATTCTAGTGGTCACATTTTCGACTCATTATCATCAAACTTGGTCAGGATGTTTGTCTAGGTAATTGCTTGGATGAGTTCGAAACTCGCATGTGAAACTAGGTCACCGGAGCCTAAAATAGAAAATCTTGTTAACACTCTAGTTGCTACTGTTTTGATCCAAGTAGTATCCTGGAAATTGGTCTGAAAGTTTTGTTTTTGATGATTTCTAGGTCAAGTTTGAATATGTGTCACCTGGGTAAAAAACTAGGGTCGCACTGCTCAAATATGGATAATCCTTGTTAACACTGTAGTGGTCACATTTTTGACTCACTGTCATGAGACTTTGGTTCAGAATGCTTGTCTAGGTAATTGTTTGGATGAGTTTGATAATTCAGGTGAGCGATCTAGGGCCATCATGGCCCTCTTGTATTTATTTCACATATATCTATAGGATAACTCTTATACATTTATTTCACATATATCTATAGGATAACTCTTATATATTTATTTCACATATATCTATAGGATAACTCTTATATATTTATTTCACACATATCTATAGGATAACTCTTATATATTTATTTCACATATATCTATAGGATAACTCTTATATATTTATTTGACATTTATTTAAAGGATAACTCAAATATATTTATTTCACATTTATTTAAAGGATAACTCAAATATATTTATTTGACATTTATTTAAAGGATAACTCAAATATATTTATTTGACATTTATTTGAAGGATAACTCAAATATATTTATTTGACATTTATTTGAAGGATAACTCAAATATATTTCTTTGACATTTATTTAAAGGATAACTCAAATATATTTATTTGACATTTATTTAAAGGATAACTCAAATATATTTATTTGACATTTATTTGAAGGATACACTCAAATAAATTTATTTGACATTTTATTTGAAGGATAACTCAAATATATTTCTTTGAACATTTATTTAAAGGATAACTCAAATATATTTATTTTGACATTTATTTAAAGGGATAAACTCAAATATATTTTCTTTGACATTTATTTTAAAGGGATAGCTCAAAATATATTTATTTGACATTTATTTAAAGGATAACTCAAAATAATATTTTATTTGACATTTATTTATTT